GGTCCAACGTCTCTAGGTGTCCCTCTGAACGGTCGCAGACTTGGAAAGTAAAGAGTACGACGACACACTCGCCAGTACCAGCAGTCTGGGGTGCAGCTGTATGAAGTACGAGTATGATATGCAGAGAAGTGGAGACTACGTCACCAATGCTCAAACTCACTTCTGGCTCACGTTGAATATGTACGAGCCGAAGAAATTCTGTGCGGAGGCGAGCCGGGCCAAAGATCCGTACGAGTACTTGTACTGGGTAGACACTGCGCTCTTCAAATGGGGGGAAGCCAGGCAGCACAAAGAAAGTGGTGGAAGTGGCTCTTGTGTTCGACGGAATCTGCAGCGTACCAGAGTCTGTAACCCCACGTTCTCTGACATGGGCTCTGATCGCCACTACCTCTAGCGAGCCGTAACTCGTACGATGTCAAATCTCTGATCGACGCATGACGATGAACAAAGATTTAGCTTAATCGGAGATTTGTCTCTTGCCTGCGGTGGCTTGAGGAACTCCCAAATGTCCCTAAACGACAGGGCGAGCATCGCTAGTCGTCAGCCCAGAGAGTTCGGGCTTTTGGTCCTGCATTTCCGGATCACCGTGGGACGTTGTTCCGTCCATACAGGTCTCATCCCAGATCGATCAGGAGCGAATCAGGCCACGCGTTATGCACAATGAGCCGGGATGGTCACTTGACGTGACAGTACGAGTAGCTCGTGGTGCGAACAAAGGCGAAAGGCAAGCACACAATGAGACTATCCACATGACTGCTGAGGACATTGTTTCATCAGCTCGATCCGATAGAAACGAGATCGACATGCTAGTTCGCCGTGGTGGCGCAACATGTCAAGCGCATGACCCGCAGATGGTTTCGCTGTTACAGTATCAAGGCCTGATTTGGTTATCGGCGCCAGACTCCGAAAAGCCCTTAACCAGGCTGAGTGAGTATGCGAGAGAGTATTGATTCGGGGGCCTCCGCTGGTCGAGCTTCAACTTCTCGTACACATACGACAGAAGCTCGCTTCTATGCCAGACACCGCAGCACAAAAGTCCCACATACTGGTGTGAACGGGGTTGATACAAGTCTCGGGTCATAATTCAATGGAATCTCCTGTACTCCGTACTTTGGATTGAGCGCTGATGTGCGCGACCGACTATCTGGCCGAGATCTTTGACCATCACTGGCGAAACAGAATGGCACCATGTTGCCTTACAGGGCACGATTTGCCTCAAAGGTCGCTTTCGAAGATATGGAAACTGAGTCGCTAGCAGAAGCGAGTTGTGTGAGCCTCTCAACAGAAGATTCTCCCAGGGCAAGCATGCAACGTCCATCACGGAAATATGCAGGCAATGTCTCGTTTCCTGAAGTCTAAAGGCAATGGTCTCTGTCTGCACAGCAACCCGCCAAGACAGAAACCGCTAATCATTGCGTTCGCCTAACCCAGTCAACGTCACACTTCACTCGTATTTACAACTTTGCCTCAGCTTTCTTCTCGACGCTCTTCGCCGAGTCAACGATGTCCTTCTCCATCGCCTTCAATGCTTCGGTCTCGCTGCCCTTTTGTGACGACTGGTAGAGGAAGATACGCGTACATTGGATCGTACCAACGAGGAAGAGGCAGAAGTTCACTGCGGCGAGGCTATGGATCGATATACCATCAGCATCAATTCATGGCAGACGGCCGTGTACGCAAATCCCAGCAAGACGCTCGAAGGTACCTCACGCCAGGATGGAGATGGAGAAGGTGCAAGACTCACAGCATATTCTTGGGTCGAATGACGAAGCACCATCTCGTCCAGATAGAACCAGTAGCCATGAGAGCGGCGTTTTGTGTCAGAGACAGTTTCTCGGCAGGCCGGAGGAAGTCCGTAGCACCAGCCAGGACAACACCCCATTTCATGATAGGTGCCCTATTGAGTCACATCTGTCAACTCTGGTGGTCCTGAATTGATCTCGAAGTTTGTGGCCATCGCATCTTGACTCCCAAAGTCCTAAGCACTATCATAGCCAGTGGCCTTACCAGAAATGCACAGTCTTTATCCCAACCTCACTAGTCCACAATCTCTGGAACAGGCTCTGCTGTTGCGCCGGGGCGCCCTCGACGGCAGGGTTGGCGGCCGTTCCCTGCCATCGCTTGAAGGCTTGTCGAAACTGGAAAGGTGTCCGCGACGCGAATGGCTGTCGGGCAGTTTGCTGCGCGAAGCGCAGACCGAATCGAGCGGACATAATCGCGAACCCCCGATGGGTGAGTCAGTCGGATCCGAGAGTGAGTGCAATTGAACACGATAACACGGCGACGTGAGAGCGTTGAAGGAGTGGAGAGTGTCGCCTGGAGATGACGATGCTTGTGAAGAGTAGCAGACGTGATGGTGGAACGTGAGTCAAGGTCGTTAAGGTTGATCTGAATTGGCGATGAGGAGAAGTTTAGGCCAAAATCCGGGGCCATTCCCGGTAAATCGTTTTCACAATCTCCGTTGGATCAACGCCGAACGCTTGTGCTTTTGATCTGACGAAGCAAATACGGAAAATGACGCTCAGTTGTGCCAGAGCGTTTGCGTGAGTTCAAAAAGGAGGTTCAAATGACGATCACAATTCAGCCAGCGATACCGTCAAGCTTGATTGGGTTTGAAGCGGCTGCTGCTCCAACGACTGCATCTGCATTTACTGTGTACTTTGAGGACTCTCACGCCTGTTCGTGACGAAGTGGTGTGCTGGTGACATTCCAAGTAGACGCTATTCTGTGCCTTTCCGACGGGCCGCTATGGCGACAAAGTATGCTTTCACTCAAGGCTTGAGAGAGCTTCGATTCCACCTCAGCAATTCAGGTCAGGGAAGTGATGCTTGCAGGTATGTCTACCCGTTACATGACCATGCGGCGGTGCGGAAGATTGACCGGCGGCTCAGATCGTTCCTGAGACGAGCATATCCTACCATGAAGCACCACAATCCCAACATCCCCATTTTAATACGAGAAGCCACGGGCATTGAGCCAAAAGTGTGGGCGAGATACGGTACGAATTTTCGTTCGACATATGACGGTCGCGCTGGAGTGCTGACGAGTCTACAAAACAGGATTCGGCAGGGAGAAGTCAGAGTCCTTAGCAGGTAAGCTTGGCTGCGCCTGGGAAGCATCGAGTTCCTTCTCACACGTTCCTGCAGGACTCTCAGACAAGGAAATTGAAGACAAGGTCACGACCCTGGTGAAGAGTGACGAAGGCGCTTCATGAGCCATTCTCCAAGAAACCACGTGGACGATATTCGATCTGCTCGAAAAGCAACACAAAGTAGCAGCAAAAGAGCTATGCTGTTATACCGGAACAAGCTGGCGGGCGAAAAGGAATACCATTGTACATACGACTGCATGCTTAAGGGATGACAACCGACAATTTTTCATATTTGTCAGTTTGGTTTACGCCGCAAGCTCCCCGAAGCGATACTGCGCCCATCCCATACTGGCCTCGGTAAGCGTCCACAACTGCTTACCTTGATCGCTACCAGCTGCCCCGACCGCAATATGGATAGGCAACAAATGCTCAAAAGTCGGGTGAGCTTGTCTCGCATCCGGCCTATCCAGCAGTCCAATCATATTTTCATCCCTCTGCTCGCCCGGTTTCGTCTCTGTCGCGACTTTCAAGGCATCGTCGAAGGTCACGGTGTACGGCATCGTTCGACCTGTCCCTCTGCCTAGCATCATGAGATGACGAAGGTTGTGTACGCTCATTCCCGAACAGATGATGAGGATGTTCTCCTCCCTGAGTTTCTCCACCGCGCGACCCAGTTTAATATGTGCTGCGGCGTCCGTGTCGTCGTCAAACAAGCTAACTTGGACGATGGGCACTGTCAGAGGGTTCTTTTCCGGGTTAAACATGACCTTGAAGGGAACGAAGACCCCATGGTCGAGCCCCCTTTCCGTCTTTTCCGTGCGGATACCGTTTTCCCCCAGGACATCGATGACTCGTTCAGCGACCTTCACGGAGCCCTTGTTTGGAAATTTCTCCATATAGTAGTGGCGCGGGAAGCCGTAATAGTCGTAGAGCAAAGGCTCTTCTTCCGAGACGTTGACTTCGATTGTGTTGGGGCGTTCGGCTTGCCAGTGGGCGGAAAAAACTACGATTGCTGAGGGCTTGACCTTGGTGGTGATTTCTTTGCCGATGCTTTGGAGTTGGGGGAACACTGGGTGGTTGATCTCGTACATTGTGTTGGGTCCCTATCTACCTATGTCAGACTCGCACGAGAGGAAGCAGTCGAGTGCGTGAGGCGCAGACTTACGCCATGAGAAACGAAATATACTGGCGTTCTTTTGGCCATGGTTGAGTTTGCTGAGGAGGGCTTGATCAAGCTTGAGAGCAGTCTCAAGGGGGTTGAGAGTCGGGAAGGAGCCAGATCGTCCAGGTTCAGTTGTCGAGATGGAGAGCTTGGATGTAGGCTGACTGCCAGCAGGAGTGTGACAAGTGCTGCTATGGATGCTATAGTCGCCGTCGCTGCTCTTATATCTCGGAGCATCTACCACCTCGTTGCGTTAGATAGAGATTCCTCGCCTTCTACTTGCTTTCCTCCTCTCCACACTTTCGTAGAGTGGTACCAGAGCACTTCGATTATGGATACGTTGTCGCTTCCTGATTTGTATGATGTTTAGCAGAAAAGACGTGCTCGGAACGAAGACGACGCCCGGCAATGCCAATAGGCTCGTTGTCTCTGTCACCCATCTGGAGACCTGGTAAGCATGCCTTACCTAAGCGACTGTCTGGAGAGCGGAACCCCTCCGTTATTGCATGCTTTAAGGAAGTCAAGCTTCAGGCAGACACAGCTCGGCGTCTTTCGGCCGACAAATGCCATCTGGCAGTTTGTGTCGTCCAAGTTTAGGTCTTTATTTAGCAGGCTTGACTGAACTCAAGAGACACGGAAAACGTTCCTGACGATGTTAAGTGCTCGATGTGATTGTTTCCATCATATGAGCCTCGTTGGCTTGGCATCCGCACCACTGCTGCAATTGTTTGTTCCTCGAAGCTTTTCTCATAATCTTCTTCTACATCCTAACGCTGAACTCGAGTCACCCTCCGGGTAATAGGCTTTGTACACCTGCAAAGCCCCCTCAACGCAACCGACCAACGTCAGTACAAAGACGACGATGGCGATCCAGAAGGTCCACCATTGTACAGGCTTCCGGTCGTCGCGCCAAAACTGTCCAATGCCACGAGGTTCATGCTCGTCGAAAACTTCTTTCAAGATGATCAGGCGTTCTCGGTAGTAGTCAAAGCAACGGATGTTCCTTTCTGACGCTCGGAGATATGGGCAGGCGAGAACCGAGCCGTCAAGCCGGAGCTGTCTTTTCTCATTCAGGAGCCATTTTCGTAGAGATGTTTCTGACTTTGGTAGCAGCAACGACATGGTCTTGCCAGTCTCAGCCAAGAACCCGTCCGGAAAGATGGTTGAATGCTTCGACCGCTGGTAGAGCTCAAGCACCGATCCGCAATGGAACACTGCGACATCACAGTCGTTGCCGGATACCTCCAGGTGAGAGGTCAGCCGTGTGGTCCATTGAACGTTGATACCCGCAACCTTTGCGATCGTCCGCGCGTTGAACGATCTCGGTAATCGGAAGGAGTCGTCCTGCACAGATCTTACAGCCACCGATCGATCAATCATTTCTGGGAGTGTCTCCGTTGGTTGCCACTTCGATATGTCCATGAAGAGCAAAGAGTGCGCAACAAACGCCATCCATTTGTCCACGGTCAATGTCTTGTTGACAGTGCTTGGCGGGACAAATGTTAGAAGCTCATCCACGCAAGATCCGCGGCGCTGGGTCAGCATTCGTTGAACGGCGCACACAGCATGGCTGTGCGTGAGCCAGAAAAGCGACTCTTCGACGGCTGAACAGAGATGTTCATAATGCTCGAAGTAGAAATCGAAAGCAGAGATGTCATTAGCCGCTGATTTGATGCCCCAGATCTCGTCTAAGAACCATGAGCGGCACAAAGCGTTTATCGATGTTGTTCGAAGCAGTTCAGCCATGCGAAAATTCTCGATCTCCTGTTTCTCGATCGGAGTGGCCATCTGCAAGGCGCACTATTGAACGCAGGGAATAAAGAGGTGGACCACAATCTCTGCTGTTGTTTTCTATATGACCCTCTGGTACCTACCGGCGAACATGCACACTTTGAGGCAGAAGCGATCATCAGTGTTGCCTGGAGGCTGGTGCTGCGCCCTCCTAGATCTCGCACTGGCAACTAAAGCTGCTTCTGAGCTGCAGCCACATATGCAGCTAGTCGTGGCGCAGCCAGCCAGGACATTGCGCCGCAAACCCGCGACTTCAGTTCGAGCAGTCAAGGATCGTCGTCGTTCACCTCCAGTCTGCGGACACTCAATCTCTCGAGCACTGAGCTCTTGTAGTTATGCACAGAGATGCGCACTTCGACAGCGGATGGCTCGGTCGCACCCCTCTCCAAAGCAGACCAAGCGCTTGCCGTGATGTCCAGAACCAAGGTCACAGCCTCACAGCACATCATGGTCTTGAGTTTGCCGTCGCGAAAACAACAGTGGCCAAACCCCGAAGAATCCATAGATGCTGCACGCTGCTTTCACCTCCTCAACGACCGTTTTCAGGATAGGATTGTACCATACAAGTGGTGGGGCGTCAAAGGACCTGCGCTAGCCGCCTATCTAGAGATCGACGAAACGCTTCATCATTTTCTCAGCTCGCGTGACGACTTTTTCGAAGGGGAGCGGAAGACGCATTTGTTTCACTCTGCCGGCTGCTATATGGTGGGTCGAAAGGCGTCCAGTGCCAGGCCTTGTATAGCAATTGGTTGCGAAAGCAAAGTGTACTGCCAGCGCGCGACAGCGGCACTGCAGCATGAGCAGTGGTGGCTGAATTTTACCTCGAAATATCCCGGCTTCCGACTGGTGGAGGTTCGCAATGCTCCCCGGCCGAGGAGCTTAGGCAACGAAACCCGACACCTGGCGAGGACCGATACACTGAAGCCACTCGAAGTCTATACCTCGCACGCGACTAGCTCGCTCTATGGGGCGCCATTCTATGCCGCGGATGAAGAGGCCGACGTACTAACGCTGAGGGCAGTTATTGGCGGTGTGGTATTCCTGGGTGGCTATGCTTATGGCCTCACCGTTGCGCATGCGGTGCAGAAAACTGTCATTCCTGACGACCAAGAGCCGGACGTTGATGAAGAAGACGGACAAACCTATTTTACCTTTCTGGACGATGATGATGCGGACGAAGAGCCTAATGGTGCGGACGAAGAGCCTGATGATGCGGACGAAGAGCCGGACGATGCGTTCGACAGTGATGCTATGTCTATGGAGAGCTTCGGTGAGTAGTATCTCCAGAATTTTGATGCCGCGGAAGCTCATTCACCAAGGCTCAACGCGAGAATCTATACCAATGAGATCAACTCCGAGACTGGCCGCGAACGCATCACGACGCCTGGGTTATGTCAAGTTTGAGTCTTCCAGAACCGCGGACGACAGTCTAGATTGGGCGCTCATCAGCCTAGAAAACGGTTCGACCCTGGTCGAACAAGTTTGTGCTCCGCCCTCACAGGAAGACAGCGATCGTGCCGCCAGACTGGTCACAGACGTAAGGGGCCCGCCTTGGGAGTCGATTCACGCCGAGGCTATCAGAGGCGTCAGTGGGGTTCCTGAGGAAGCGTATGTGAGCGGAGCGCCGGAGTACATTCGGCTACCCGATTCAAAGCAATTCGCCAAGGTATATGCAGTTCGACTGAGCTCTGAAATCGGTGAGTGACCCTTGACACTGCTAGACTGAGCCAGACTGAGGTATGTGGCCAGACTACGGTGATTGCGGTATGTGGATAATCGACCCATTGCGGAGGGAACTACTCGGTCATGTTGTTGCTGGGCATCCAGGAACCAAGCAAGCATTCATGGTCTCTGCGGCGTCGCTGAAGGCGTCTATCGAGGAAGCTACATGGCTGCCTCTCCTTCTGCCAGCACAACGCTTTCCACATTCCGAGGCAATGACACGCAAGGTGAGGGAGGCCGACTCCCAAGCTTTCTCTAATGCCGGACACGACTCGGCCGATCATTCGCGTGCTACCAGTTCAACTCGATCAAGACACATTGCAATCTCTCCCTTATCCTTGAATCCGACAGTGCCGGATACCCTCCTATCGGGACAGCGAGTCTGCAGAGATATCTCCACAGTTGCCCAAGGTTCACTTTTTGCACGTCGATCAATCATGTGGTCCGGAAGCCGAGACCCTGAATCGACAGGGACTCCTCGGCGACGACATGACTCTGATTGCGGACGCGGCTGCTGGACCTGCGGGTGCAGGGAAGCTCCACTTATGAATGAAAGCAATCACGAGACGTATCTAGGGGGGACTGGGGCGCAATTTTCATTTACCACGGGTAAAGACGTACCATCCGAGAAGTGAGCGGCGACTAACAATTTTCTAGATCTACCCGAGGAGGAAGACCCATTTTCACATTCTTGTTCGCCCGTTAGCGACTTGGCGCTCCTCATCGAGGACGATTCTTCAGCCATGATAGTGCCCGACTCCATCGCAGCCAGCACCGCCGATATGGCAGACGAGACCATGCTCAGCGCATATGAAGCTTCTTTCCGGGCCCCCAGCGTTGTTGCTTCGCAGATACTCGCAGGTGCTGGCGCCGCTATCAACGGCATCTTTATCACTCGACCCCTGATACTCACCCCGGAATGCCGTCACTCTGGCGCCGCAGATCTGGTAAAAGAGATCATGCTCAGCACGTACGGGGATTCTTTCCGGGCCCGTAGCGCAATTGCGTCGCAGATACTCGCAGGTGCTGGTGCCGCTTTCAGCGGTATCTTCATCACTCGACCTCTGAGACTCACCCCGGAATGCCGTCACCCTTCCGAGGTCATAGGTCAGCGATTTATGCGCTGACAACTAGCACGAACGCAGTCAATAGGCGCCCGAGAGGGGAAACGGACACTATCTATGGTGAAGCAGGTGTTGGTTGTCCAGATAGGAAGACCTGGTTCACCACTAACCTACAGTGCAATCTGCTTGAGACAGCGGGGTAAGATCTGAATTGTAAACAGACCTGTTCGAAGGACATTCTCCCTGGACCTGTCCGACTGCTGCTGAGAGACGGCTGCACATTGTCCGTGTCGTCGATGCAGGCTACGCCTTGAATCTTGAAGCATATAGGAACGGGTGACTATATCAAATGCAAACTCACCTCTTCGGTCAGCCTCGAAGGTTCTGAAGTAGACTCAGGAAATCCCATGAGCAATATCGCGATTCCTTCAGATCATTCTAGGACAACAGGTCCGGCTTCATTAAGCGGTGCATTTATTTAGGCTGGAAGGGAAACTGCTGGTTTCGCGTTCCGTCGTCTTCGAACTCGTATCAGGTGAGCACCCACACTCTCCGAGCGTTTTCCTGCATCCAGTTCGGCCATACTGTCGTCGAAGAAACAGAGCCTTCTTTGGCGGTAGTGTCGACTGAGCGCTTTCGCCTGTCAATACTCGAGCGACAACTGCTCCTGCCACCGTTCCCGGCTCCAGCATCAAGTATCTCGCAAACATTTGCCTGGGGACGGGTCGAGAAAGTGGTGTGCGCACAATCACGGGCTGAGCGACACTATGTACGGCTCTCGACTGCACATGCACGTATGGGGTTCCAGAGAACACTTATTTAGCTTCTTACGTTGTCCGCACTGTATTGGCCCTCTACCTGGCCCTCAAGTCCTGTACCAGGCCGTTGGGAGTCAAACATCGAGGTGGGAAATGTGAGGAAGGCGGAAGTGCTCAATCCGAGTCAACGGGAAGAAACCTACCTGTGGCTTGCTCCTTACAGTATTCATATCGGCTGAGACCGAAGCGTCCGGAGATGGTCCGTAGCAGTTCTGTCCCGTGAGCAGTGAGCAAATTGAATGTGAGGTGGAAGTGAGCTGAGAGTGAGGTGAAACCGATGATGCTGGCCTGACAAGCCCAGACCTGTAAACTTACTAGCGCGGTTCTTAGTGGATCCGCAGTCATGACTCGTCAGAGGCGCCTCCCGGAACGACGCTGCCACCCAAATCGTTACCTGCGCACACCACCTTTCGGTAAGGAGGCTCTTCTTCAGCAGACCACAGGTGACACGCGCAGTCACAACTGCACTTCTCTTGTCGGTCACCGCGGGCTGTCACTAGCTCTGGCTGTCCGTGAGCATGGGGCGTACGATCGACCAGGACGTCCACGCGGCTTTTGTCGAGTTCAAGGCCAAAGGTACGTCGGTATCGTCACCTCCAGTATTGACTGTACTGTACACTGTACACGCGTATCGAGATACAACATACTGTACTGTGACAAGTGTCGAAAAGCCGCTGACTGACTCGGTCTCCACACAGAGGACGACAAGTGCATGTCGGTGCAATGCATCTACTGCCAACAGATCCGCGCAAAGAACACGTCTCGCCAGAAGCAGCATCTCCTCGAGTGTCCTGGCCTCCAGAACAACCCCAATGCCCCTCGACCCGAACCATCTCCTGATGATCGCATCGGCGCCGTCAATGGATTCCGCACGCCCTCCGTCTCGCATACATCCAATGCCCCCTTGAGCAACGGCATACCCTCCGGCAGCACGCCCATCCAAGGATTGACCAACGGCACCTCGATGCCCCCGCAAGGTGCCAACACAACCCCAACCCAGCGACAACCACCGAAGCCAAACAAGACACCAAAGACCACACCGGGATCCAGCCTCCCTGCACCACCTCTCGACGATGTCCATGCTGCGTTCGTCGAGTTCCGGGCCAAAGAGGAGGACAAGTGCTTGTCTGTGCAATGCATCTATTGCAACCAGATCAGAGCCAAGAACACATCGAGGCAACGCCAGCATCTTCTCGAGTGTGCGACATACCAGAATGTCATGAAGGAGTCCATACCTGCAAACAACTTGCTTCACAGATTTGATGAAGGTGATGTTGCGCGTTCGCTGGCGTTGCCGACTCCAACGCTCGAGCTGGATTTCCGCATGAGCATCAAGGTCAATCCCAAGATCGGTGTGGGGTCAGGCTTATTCGGCCACCGCGACTGGGTTAGTATCGTAGGCGGGCAGTGGGCGGGACGATGGGGGAAAGGAATTGTCATTGTGAGCTTGAGCCCACCACCACTCGACCTCTGTGAAGATGTTGTACTAATGTCTCGGCAGCCCGGCGGACAAGACAGCCAACTCGTGGTGAAAGACCTCGCAACACACAGCAATGCCAGTTATCTTCTTCAGACCAACGATGATCCTCCCGCGTACATCACCGCAAGACACAAAGGCTGGCGTAGTGGCCCGAAAGAGGTCCTCGAACGACTGAATGACCCTACAGTGGCGGACACGGTGCCAGCTAATCAGTACAAGTTTCGCGTGACGGTCGAATTCGAGACGGGTGATGAGAGGTATGCCTTTCTGAACACCTGTCTATGGATGGCGAGTGGAAGTCGAAGAACCGGCGAAAGTAAGTCTGCTTAAAGTGAACGAAGTCCATGACTCCCGTGATTGACCAACGCCTGCTAGTAATCTACGACGCGTATCGAGTCGGCTAGGGGTCTGAATCGATCAATGACATTCATGCGGGTGCTGTCGACGATGAAATCCCTGAGTCAGACGGATTGATCTTAGAGAAGTTCTTCCTCAATGACGTGAAGGGTTTTTTTCCAATGCGAACGGATAAACCCAAAGACGAGAGCGATCGAAGACGCCGAGCTACGGGTTCGTCTGACAAATGTATCACTTGAGGGGCGGGGGCGATACATGTTCTTTGCCATGTTTGCTCTGCCGGATTTGTTTTACTATCGATATACGCGAGGCTCCGGAGTATCCAGGATGGAGGACAAGCGGGTGACGATCGCAGAGACGGTATGTGAGTCGACTTCAGACGCGTCTTTTCCGGCGTCGATACGTGGGGTTGAAGGGAATTTCATATCCAGGAGCATCGTCACTGTCGGAATATCAAAGCTAGGGAAGCGGCGTTGCGACGGGCTCTAATGATGATTTGTATGAACATACATCAAGGGATGCGACCGTCTGACTGGATGGGTAGCGTACGTACAGTGGCGAGATAGCATACGCAAGGAATGGACTTGTTTCTCATTTCGATTTCGGTGTCGGTGTCAGTTTCCAATTTCATGGACGTAGGCAGTGTGTGAGTTACGGGAAAGTAACTAGTATCTAGAACTGTGAAACCGGCGTTCGGATTACAAGGTCCGAGATCAACTCGACGGCGTATCATCGTCTCAGCGTTCCACCGTCTACGGTATACGCCGATACACAATGTACATGCAGGTGGCTGGGGATGGTACAGTGTCCGACAACACTCTCAACATTGTCTATACATTATAACCTACGCACATTACACGCTGGGTCGGTTGGGTAGAGAATTGCCCTGTCACTAATCCGTACTATACACTCATGATGCCACCGCGTCATTTTTCTCGGTTGGTCTCATCCTAGCTAGCGACAAGATAACACGTCTCCCTCGTCGTCGTCCTTGTCGTCCTCGTCGTCGTCCTTGTCGTCCTCGTCGTCGTCCCCCTCTTTCTTCGCCTGGACGACGGAGATTTGTTTTCCTTCCTCGTGGTCGCGGGCTGAACCCCTCGTTTCGGCCAGTCTCGAGTTTCTCGACCTTGACTCTCTCACATATCGTCCCCCGCGAAGAACGACACGTGCATGTTCTGGCCGCCTAGATATCGCCACAGGCGCCACACTTCCTCGATCACCGCCCGGGCGGGACCTTGCAGTGAACGGACGAATAGTAAGCTGTCGGTTTCGCTATGGGGTTGCGCGGGCCGGAAGATCGGGCGGGAGAGTAGCTCGTTCAATTCGTCCGTGTGCTGCCTGGTTGGGGGCACGGGCGTGTGAGAGAAGAGACGGTCGAGGGAGAAGACGGGGAAACGGTACGTGTCCGTTACGGGGAGCATCGGTGGGATGAGAGGATTGTCTGTCGGTAAGGCGGGGAGTGATGATGATGACGATGAGGACGAGGACAACGAGCTCGACACCAGGGAAGAAAGGTCACCGGCGCCGATGTGCAGGAATATACTTCCTGGGAGCCATTCGTGGTGGCCGAGGCGCTGGTAGGTCATTTCCGTGGGCGCAGCAGGAAGGGATGGAGCGTGCTCGCTGGGAGACCCGCTGGTCGAGGAGATGGCTTCGCCTGCTGTGGTGTCCTCTGCGGCTCGCGACTTGCTTCCAACTCTTCGGATCTTGGAGGTAGGGTTAGCTATCTCCGTGGTGGTCGAGTGGTTCACTGCAGCTGTGGACCACTGGAGTCGTAGCTCGTCGCCGTTCAGCAGACCGTTCTTTGGGAAGGGGAGTGGCACGACGCCTGAGGGTCTCTCGGGCAGGCCTTGGATTTTTGCGGCAGACTCAGATTCTGCAAGCGCGCTCATGGCGACCAGAATACGTTGTCGCATGATGGTCACGACGCGTGACGGCAGCTCAACTTGCCATTGTAGTTTGTTCAGGTTGAAACTTCCTAGGTCAGTGGAGGGGGTGTCACTCGTTCCGGAGTGGCCGCTGACAAAACGGCGTTTGTTCTGTAGGTAGTGCTGTGCCGTTGAAAAGGCCTCGCGGGCTTCGAAGTGGACGAGTTTGCTGACCTCGCCTGGTACACTCTCGCGACCCGTGGGTGGGGGGAACTTGGATGTCTTTTTTTTCACCGGCTGGGTTACTGTGTCGCTTAGGTGAGTGAGAAAGGTGTGGTTGAAGAACAGGCGACTCTGTGGCAGGGGAGGTCTTCGCAAACCCGAGGGTGTATCGTCCTGGGAAGTAGTTTCAGCTGTATTGTCCTTCCCAGTACTTTCGTCTTCCTTGCTGCATTGCTCCAGTTGAGGTGCGACTGGCGGAGGATGTCGCAGGCTTGCCCTTAACTCGGTCGCCATTTTTGCGTCCAGAGCATCCAGGTCCGCGAGCCTTGCCGGCAAAAGGTATACCTTTTCATCTTTGGGGTTTTTGACATATGCAAGGTCCAGCAATAGGTCCACCGGCAGCCTTGCACCGCTGCCTTGACATGCCCGGATGGGGCTTGCCAGGATCTCTGCCCAAGGGTTATTCTTCAACCCTCTAATGTGGTGATACGAAGGGTGGATTTTCTCTTGTGTCCGCCGCCTCTCTGCCTTCTCAACCCAGCGCACGACTGGCGACTTGGATATTGATGGTCCGGGTTCCGTCGACGCGTCAAGGGAGATCCTCTTGTACGTCTTCCTTTTCCTTCCTGGCTCTGCTGGAGGTTCGATAACGACCGATTTGAAGTCCGTCCCACTCTTCTTGTCTGCATTGCCGTGATGAACCTTTTTGCTCACTGCCTGGAGCTCTGCGAGCAAGTCCTTGACCGTTTGTAGTCCGGCAACACTGTAGGGATTGAAAGGCGGCGTCGGTCCTGCATCTTCGCCGCTCTTCTCGCTTGCGGTTGATGATCTCGTATGCGCATCATTTGGAGCGTCAAGGACACGGTCTCTCGGAGCAGGAGACTGTGAATCGCTGTAACTGCGTCTGCAGGTTGAATGGTTCGGCCGTCCGCTACAGGCGTAGGTTCTGCGATGAGCCTTCTTGGGCGATTGGAACAAGGTCCGGAACACGTCCAGACGCCATGTGGAGTATGGGATGTGGCTGTACGGACATGAAAGGCTCATACCTTAAGCAATATACTAGTAGGCGAAGGTACTAGTAGATTTCTGGCCCGCAAAGATTGTGATCGGGTTCAGAAATCCAGGACAAGGCTAGCTTGCAGCCTTGCTTAGTCAAAAGCGCGCTCTCTGGTGCCCTGATGGTGGCCAGCCAAGTGCTGCCAACAACTCCTCCGACATTTCCTCGCCCTTACCTGGGAGTTCAATTACCGTACTAGACACCAGAGCGCTGAAGCGTCTGTATGGCAAGCTCTTTACCCGGCAACAACTTGAGAGCCGTAGGTCACGGGCGCTCCGGTGACAGATGAGGACATATCCAATACTGTAGCAGTGATGGCTGCGCATAAGGGGGTTTTCTGACAGCGAAAGTGGGTTATTAAAGAATCCCAACGTGTACATCGTCTGCTTGACAAGAAGATCATGCATAAGATCTGTATTATCTTGAGCTGGTCGATGTGTGGCTGCATGAAACCTGACTAGGGCGATCAACAACCGGGCATTGTTTGCGATTTCGAGGCAAACCTCAAAGTTACAGCAACAAATGCCCCTCGGTGAGAACTAACCAAAGGTGACCTTCGTCCGTGAGGGCTACCAGAAGACAACGAGCTGACATTATGATAACCCCCAGCATCATGACTCTGGTAGCCTTGACACACTGCTGATTGACAGGTCGATCGACACGTCCGAAGTACTCATCAATTCTCTTCCATGCCTTCGTGAAAGCATAACAGCACAATTGCCAGCACTTGCATCCGTCACTCCTCAGTCTGACTCTCACTCCGCTGCATCTTCGAACACGAATCTCACCACCTCATCGAACACCCGGTCCGGATTGTCTTCATGCATCAGATGGGCCGCCTCGTCGATATAGGCGATCTCTTTCTTCGCGGCCCCGACAAGCCTGTACAGCTCGGCGGCCGTGTATCGCTGATGGGCCGTGGTCTCCTTGCCGGCCATCACCAGCGTCGGCACCTCCAGCCGCTGCGCATCTCCCGGCCCGTACTTGGGCGGGGTGCTGTACCTGAAGAACTGGCACAGCCACTTGGCGTTGTCCTCGACCTGGCGCTTGCGGTCCGGATTTCGCTGCAGCCGAGGCCAATACTTTGCGTTGATGACGCCGCTGCAGAACTTTTCGGTCGCTTCCTCGTAATTTCCCTGCTTGCAGAGCGCGATGACGGGCCCCGTCGTCGTCACGCCGAAGTGCATGACAGGCCAGAAGGTGATGGGATGCCAGACGAGGAAGGAGAGCAGCGCCGGGAGAGCCGGGGGCAGCGACGGCAGGAAGAGGCCCACAAGAGGCGGCTCCTCGACCATCAACGTCCGAAAGAGCTGTGGTTTCGTCTTGGCCGCGTACAGCGAGATGACGGCGCCCGAGGAATTGGCCAGCACGTGCACGGGGCCGATCTCCCACGTCTCGATCAGGGCCGCCAGGTCCAGGGCGTCCTGTTCCCAGGGACACCGTTCGTCGTCCCGAATCGGTCTGTTCGGCCACGCGAACCGGCGGCTGTAGTTGTACACGTGGAACCGGGTCGCGAGCTTGGGCTCGAGCTCGTCCCAGCCGCGCTGGTCGCTGATATGCCCGTGCAGAAGGACCAGCGGTTCGCCATGCCCGCTTTCGCGATACGAGAAATTATACCCGTTGACCTCGACCGTGTGGGTCGTGGCCTGGGTCGATGGATTGGACATGGTCTCGGTAGACCTAGGTCGATAACCGTTGACGGATTGAAGCCCAAGATCACCTCAATATAGCTCACAGAAACAGGTATAGATATGTATACCGACTGCACGGGTATATACGATACGTTGTTGTAGGGAAGCCGTGCCTGACCCACCGAACGGAGTCTGCCCGCGCCGCGTCAGCCGCTAGGGCATATGCGACGAGACACTTACGGTATTAACTAGATCAAATCCGGAGTGCTGGACATCGGTAAGCGTGCTGTGTAAATTCAAGATCTGCATCCTCGCAGTCCGCACGAAATAAGTCAGTGTAAGCGAGTATGCGGCGAAGGAGTCTGTTGCTAGCTAGGAGGGGTGGTCCGTGGAGTCGAACCGTCTCGATACCACGAATGCTCAGGTATACCATGTCTACCATACGATATCGTACTTGGGAGCAAGCACTGAGGCATCGCAGGCTCGATTTGGAAGGCCACTGATACCACCCTGTACTGTCGACATGGAGGCGATTCTCGGCATGAGATGGAGCCACCCGTCCTGCGCGGATTAATCCATCAGAATCCTCCGATTGAGGGATGAGGAAAGACTCTGAAGCCGCAGATGAGTGAAGACGCTCGCACTACCTCTCACCTGCTTGGCTCGCGTCCTGGTGTCTTCCTGAGGTCTTTGGGAGACGTGTGGGTGCGTGTACCACCTGGGCGACCACCTCGCCCACCTCTCGGTTTATATAAGCCTGCCTCGTTCAACCATGTGGGTGCCGTCCGGGGCGGGTCATGGGTGGAGGTACCACAGTAAGCTCGTACCTTCAAGTTACTACTAGTTGACTAATCATGTTGGCCGACGCTGTATTCACAGTACCCGTACTTAGAGTATGCCTACCTTTAGGTTCCTCGTAGGTACCGGTGGTGGGGCTACCGTCGAGGAGGCTACTGAATTACACAGGAATACTCCGTACTGTGGAACACGTTAGGTAAGTTCTCGTACGAGTACTCCGTACCCCGGTATCCAGTCCTCGACAGACCGGAGCTGTAGACATGGAGGCGATGCTCGGCATTAGATGGAGCTACCCCTGCACGAATCTCGTCAGCTACAGTACCTACGGCAGGGACAGGCGCGTCAGTACAGCAAAAAGATATGGGATCTTTTCTCCCGCAACTCAAATCCGTGAGAACCGTGGTTACTCGAATACACGGTACAGTATTGGTACCTAGTACCTTGCGATGTCTGGTCCTGGCGCTCCAGGAACGCCAGGGGCGCAAGCCGCAAGCCATGCCGAACAATTCCTCCGCAGTGAGTCATGTCCTTGATTGTCCCTTCGTGCGCACCACACAGCACAGCACGCACTATCGCCAACGGGACAAAGTGCGCACACAGCACGCGAGGCATAGAACACGGGAACCGATGGGACCGAGGGCATGATTTGTGTGACACTAAGTCAAGGCATTTTGGGGAAATGAGGAGGATTGGAAGGCGCCTTTGATCTAATTCCTTGTCCTGAGCGCTTCACTTCGCGCAGGAGTCAACGGCTTGGTGCAGGATGCAAGATCGGAGGCTGAAAGAGATTCCACAGAAGATCATTACTCAATACGCTACGTAAATTACACAGTAGTAGTACATATTACCTGATACACGATCGTGAACTTGATCTAACGTCGCCTTTCATTCAACGCCTCGTTCCCCTTTTCTTGGCAGTCTTACCTTTGCCCTTACATTTGCCCTTACCCTTGCCCTTACCCTTCCCCTTGCCATTACCACCACCGCTGCCCTTGCCCTTGCCCTTGCTCCTACCCGTACCCTTGGGTCTCACGTCCTCATCGTCCCGCCCCTCTCTCACCGCCTTGTTAATTGTCCCCCTCTTGGGGAACTTTGTCGTCCCGTTCCGCTGCTCTTCGCTAGTACTACCACCATCGCTCCCGGACTCCGCATTCCCATCCCGCGGCCGCTTCTGACGTTTTACTTGCTCACTCACATTCCTCAACTTGCACCGGGCGTGCCCACACCGACAATCCAAGCCTCGATAGTAAAAGTAATCGGGTCCGTAGTGCACCGTGATCTCCTCGCCGAACTTGATCTCCCGGACCGTGCGCACGATGGTGGTCCACACCTGGCCCACATTGACGGTGTCGAAGCGAGCGTTCGGATAGCAGCAGTGGTTCATAAACCTCGTCCAGTTGCCCAGGTGCGCCGAGTCGACCGTGAAGCGGGGCCGCTGGTCAGGCGTGCGCGGCGGAAGCGGCGGCCCAACAGGCACGCTGAAGTGGTAGACGTTGCCTTCAGGAGGCCCGTAGCGGGTGATGCCCTCTCCAGTGTTGGCGTCTCGCTCCGGGTATATCTCGCCGACGTACTCGCCGATGAAGTTATCTCTGGGTATGCGTTGAAGAGTGCGGACGCCCCGACCTTTGTTGGGCGTTGTGAAGAGCTCGACGAGGAGGGAGTCCCGGCGCGTGAGGCCGGCCTTTTTGTCGTTTTTCAGCTCCATCAGCTCGTTCAGCGTACAGTGGCAAGGATATTCTGGAGACGACGCGAGCTCGGGCTCAGGCGAGAGTTCTCCGGGCGTCAAAGACGGCTCCGCGTTGCCATTGCTGTCAACGACTACCGTGTCGTTATCCGCGTTGGACGGGTCGACTGCCTCAGGGGCCGCCACACCGCAAGCGATGCATTCGTGGCCGGCGCCGCCGCAGAAGTCTGGCCTTCCAAGTACGTTGGAAAGCGACCCTGCCGGCCAAAGATTGTTATCCGGATCGAGGATGACAGACCTGACAATGTCCAGTTGTTTCAGCGTTTGGCTGGAGCCGAGTGGGAGTTTGACGGGTAACTTCGCTTTCTTGGCTTTCCTTCGGAGTCTGGGACGGTCGACGACGGCATCAAAGTCGTTTACGAACGGAGGACTCTCCATGAGACGCGTGACGGTGTAGTTGATTGTGGGCCGGACAGCAGGCTGTCGTCTTCGGCGGGCAGTGCCCAATGGTGATGGACGTAGCTTTCCTCCTCATCTGGAATTCGGTGAATCTCGGCGAGATCGCCATCGTCAATTCCAAAGTTTGACTGGTTGATGCCTTCGAGGCCTCCATGCTCATCGCTATATACATACCTCAGAAGTGTATCGAAATGCTTTTCAAATGCCCGCAGATTGCCTACCCAGTTGAAATCGAAGCAACGCGCGAACAGCTCCAGGCTTGACTTGCACGACTTGATCACCGGGTAGATGTCGCTCCATCTGGGCACTCCCTCGCGTCTGCTTTCGGCGTCGCTACGCTGGATGACGTCTCGAAAGCTCGCAGAATGTGCGCAAAATGTCAAAAGAAGAAGCTTGGGACCGTCGCAGAATTCTGTCAGTCTGTCCGGTTCCGGAAAGTCAAGTGCCCTTTTCACATCCCTTGCGACTGAGCCTCCGCGGGGGTGGTGCACATCGTATTCTTCGAGACATTGTTGTAGATTTTCTCGGTTGTCCTCTGGCTGAAGATCGAAGAAGCGACGCAATCGAGCTCGGAAGAGGAACTCTCTTACAGCATAGATCTCATTTGTGCGAGAAGACTGTTTAGTAATAGCTGCACAGCGAATTTCTTCGTAGATCCTCGTCATTAAACCGTCAATCTTGACCTGTGATATCGTAGCTCGCCTGGGTCGGTTCCTCGTTGATCCTCCAGCCGAGCGCTGGGCAGGGGGGGCTGCTTGGTCTTGAGTGCCGTCGGAGGGCGCATTGCCCTGAGCGCTCAATATAGCTTGGCTTCTTGTTTGAGATCTGGTGATACGACGGTCTGTTTGCGCCACATCCTGGGATTGAGCCTGAGTAGTGCCTGGAACAACGCCCTGAGTAGTGCTTGGAACAACGCTCTGAGCAGTGCCTGGGTCAACGCCCAGAGTAGTGCCTTGGGCTGGGGTTTGAGACGGAGCAGCACCTTGTGCAATACCTTGAGCAATACTTCCCTTGAATAGTGTATTTCTATATTCCTGGCCCTTAGCTGTTGGCTTCTTCGTCCTCTGTCCCCTTCCTAGGTTGTCATTATCCTGTCCGGGCTGTGCATTCTGTGCTTGTGAACTCATCGCAGAGCCAGTTCGGCAGATTCCTTATTGGAGATGGTGTAATTAACCGTAAGACTTCGAGATTGACTGAAGGAAACAAGGCAAAACACCAGGACAAACTGCAACATGGGAAACATTTGTGCAAACCAAAGCACACAACACGAGCGACAGGAATAGCAGCATTGGGGATTGAGAATGATAGTCATTATTGTCGAAGCATCCAATTCTGGATACAACAGACATAATAGATGTGAGTACAAAGACAATAGGTCTCGAAGGTGCACTGGGACGGCAGGCGTCGACAGGTCCGGCACAAAGAAACCACACACGGTTATTCCTGGAGCAGGCCATTGTGACAAAGTAGAGTGTCGGCAACCACAGACAAGGCATTAGCTGTGGGAATCATATCGACGAACAAAGACGGGATCGTGTCCTATTATTAGTAAGATGTTCTTGGAGATGAAGTCGAAGATGCATGCCAGAAGATTTCGCTCGGGAGTAGATGTAGTGCAGTATCCCACCTCGCATCGATGCTGTTGCTTTGGACTCTGCTGTTTGTGGACAGATGGATCCGCTTGTCATCAGTCTGATGCTTCGTGCCCGCGTCAGCGGAATCGTCACGATGTCGTCGTCGAGGACGGCCCTGTCGGTCTGCAAGACAGATTTGCCTCTGATAATGCGCCGGTCATTCGGCACTGGGTAGTCGCCGATCGTACTGCAGGTCTCACAACCTGTGAAAAGGTCCGCTGGTGCCCATTGTGCTGGCGGTCCTCGTTCCTGTCGCCTAGGGCTGTGTGCTGGTGGACATCGTCATACAATGTACTCGGAGAGTGTTTCCGCACAGCTCGCATGTCAGTTGTTCTCATTTCTCAGGTCATGAACGGGTATCATCTCATACGGTCTCGATATACCTCCTTACCTCCCAATCCGTGACTGCCTCATCCCATAGTCGTAACTCGTGCTCTCGTGTCCCGCCGTAATGCTCGACGAAATCGTCCCCGAATATTTCCCGGGCGACGCTGCCTTTGGCCATGAATCGTGCCGTGCTATCTTTGAGGTTCTTGGGCAATCTCTCGCCTTTGTCAGCGAGACCCCCAACTTCTTCACCCTTTCCGAGGGGTGGTAGCTTGATCTCCAGCTTCTTTTCGATACCTCTCCAACCGAGGGCAACAATGGTTGCAAGGACTAGAGATGCATTGGCATCCGCACCGCAGACCCTGATCTCGAACCTCGTGGCCTTGGCCGAGGCTACTGGAGGAGCGATCAAACGAATGGATGCTGCTCGATGCTCCAGGCCCCAGGAGACTGTGACGGGGGCCCAGAAATTTTCAACCAGCCGCTTGTAGGAGTTGATTGTGGGCGCGATGATGGGCATGACGTCTGCAAGACCATCTAAGAGGCCCGCAAGGAAATATCGACCTAGATCCGACACATACTCGAGGTCCTTGTATGGTGGGTTGGGGTCTTTCTCGCCTCTGTAGAACAAGTTCTTTCCTGACTTGTCGACGATCGAGCAGTGCATATGCCCACTGTTGCCCGGTAGTCCTTCCTTTGGCTTTGCCATGAACGTGGGTGTGATGCCGTGCTTGCTCCCCATTGCTTTCACCACGTACTTGAACAGACTTGCTCGATCTGCCATTTCGGTGACCTCTCCGAACTCCAGGGCTGCTTCAAAGACACCGGGACCCGACTCTGTGTGCCAGCCCTCGACATTACACCTGAACTTCTCGCAAGTCTCAAAGACGCTGTAGAACCAGTCTTGGTTGTGTATCGGGTCGGTCAAGGAGTAGCCGAACATCCCCTGGGTTAGGTGTTGCAGGGCGTTGACCGGATGTTTCTGGAGGAAGGAAGCTGTTGTGGAAGAGGAGTTGTGAGTGGTCTGAATGGTCTCGTCTTTCGGAGCGCGGTAGGTGAAGAACTCATACTCGGCGCCGGCCATGGCTCCGTAGCCTGCCTTGTGTAACTTCCCGACTGCGGTGCGCAGGACACTCCGCGGACATGCGGCGATTGGCTTGTCTGTATCTGGATCGTAGAAGCTGACCAGGAAGAACGGGACATCGCCCTCCCAGGGTATGCGGCGGAAGCTGGAGAGATCTATCTTTGCAACCAGATCCTTGTATCCATTCTCTTTGTTGCTGATCTTGAGTTCGCGGAAGTAGGTCAGGTCGTGCATATCCCAGCCGAACACCACGCTGCAGAAGCCAAAGCCATCTTTGGCCACCGAGAGGAACTTCTTTTTGGAGACTAACTTGCCCCGAAGGATGCCTACGCGAGTTAGCAGGAGCCATGAGTAAAGCTGCGTGGGCGCGTGCCGTCAACATCAATGCCTGCGAGTTTGACCTTGTTATCGGTCGCCAACTCGGTCTCCAGGTCGTCAAGAGTGAGACTCTCCTTTTTGGCCATGGCTGAACGATGAGACGAGGTCGGCAGAGTACGGGGTATGGAGCGTAGAGCTAGGACCAGCGAACAATAATGAGCAAAGAACAAAGAGCCCGGAAGGGAGCGAGCTGCGCACCCTCTTACCTCACAGAGTAAGTACACAAAGCGGGGAAGATGATTGGCGCAGAACGGTGCTTTAAGGCAGTGGCTTGGAGGTGGAGGCGGGCCTGAGCTGATAAGCTCCCTCAATCGAAGCGATAGGCTCTGAGGTATGTCGGTGTCGAGAGACCGAAGGCTAGATCATGAGGTTACTTCCTCCTCGGTACTCCGTACAGAGTCTTGAAATAATTAATACAAGGCTGACAGCTGCATCCTTGGAAAATCAATGACGCCCGTGCCTGCCCATCATCTGCAACCAGCGGATCCAGCCACCGACTCAAGGCTCCTTACAGGGCAAGAGCTCATGTGCTTCGATCGACAAGAAGACGCAGCTCCAGTCGGGAGAATCGCCCATTGGCCCGGCGTGTCCACGGCGTGGGTATGAATGGGCCATGGCGGGTTGCTTCGGAGAAGACCATGTTTGATTAGATAAGGCTCCGATTTCCATCAAGCCACGATATTCGAGCGACTCGAACGATATTATTTCATGGTGCATTGTGTGACCTTGACAGCACGCTGACACCCATTGTACCACGGTTCCCTTCACGACCGGTGATACGGTGTTCATTTCCCAGCCGCTACTTTCTTGTCGCTGACATTCACCTCACTCTCACCGCTCACTCACTCATACATCAGGTCGAGTCAGAAAGGCGCCTCCGAAATGGCCACAGAGTCACGACCAGGTCGCCTGGCGGGCAAGAACGCCATCATCACTGGAGCAGCAGGCGGGATTGGTCTCGAGACCACGGTTCTATTCGCCAAAGAGGGCGCTTCGGTGCTCATGGCCGACATCTCAGAACCAGCCCTGGAAAAGGCCCTGGCCAAGGTCAAGGAACTCGTGCCCAACCACCCGCGCTTAGAAACCATCAAATGCGATGTGTCGAAGGAGTCAGATGTCCAGGGGGCAATCGAGTCTCAAGACAAGCATGGCGGAATCGACATCATCTTCAACAATGCCGGGATTATGCACGCCAAGGACGATGATGCCATCAACACCCCCGAAGACATATGGGACCTGACGCACAAGATCAATGTCAAGGGCGTGTGGTATGGAAGCAAACATGCTGTGTTGTCCATGCGGAGGAACAAGAAGACCAAAGGCTCTGTCATCAATGTGGCCAGCTTTGTCGCGTTGGTGGGCGCAGCGACACCGCAATTGGCATATACGGCATCGAAAGGCGCAGTCTTAGCCATGACACGAGAACTAGCCATCGTGCATGCCAGAGAGAACATAAGATTCAACTCGCTGTGTCCGGGCCCGTTGAATACTCCCTTGTTACAGGATTGGCTCGGCGATGATCTGCACAAGAGACACAGGCGCGAGGTCCACTTCCCCATGGGTCGATTCGGTGAAGCTATTGAACAAGCGCAGGCAGTGCTCTTCTTGGCGAGTGATGAGAGCAGCTTCGTCAACGCAACCGAGTTTGTGGTTGATGGTGGCTTGAGCAAGGCCTATGTGACAAGTGAGGCACCGCCGGCTGCTGGCCCTGTGAATAATGTGCATTGGTGAGAGCCTGTGGGCATGCAAAGGGTACACGCGAGACTTTATCTGGGGAACACAGAAGACTGAGGAGACTCTGAGGTGGATTTGATTGACTGCGACTAAGACGCTCCTCGCATCACTGGGGCGCTCAAGGATAGACCACTGGTTGACACGAGTTAAGACCATACACCACCAATCATGGAGTTCACATGTCACACTGTGTATCTACAGCTTCTGTCAAGCCGCAATTCCCCTGCCGCGAGCGACTGTTCACGAAGACGGTATTACCAATGTCTCTTCGACAATCCCGATGCAACAACAACACCCTCCAAGTGGCATGACCCCAAGCGACTTCAAGAAGAGATGTTCGGCGCCGCTGTATGTTGCTGTAACACGAAGGAGGATTCGAGAACAACTGGGTGGCGCTGAAGTCGTGGAATTGCCCGAGTGGATAAGGGTCCAGGGGAGGAGTACACCGGATGCTCGTCTTGTCACACTGACTGTGCAGCAGGAAGTTTGGGTGGCATTACCAGGCGGAGCTGTGGTTAAGTTTCTGTCGAATTTCATTGTGGTGAGAGTCCGGATGGGAAGGCAGGAAAAGGGGCGGTGTTTGACATTGACATTGGCGTTTGCAGAAGCTGCTGTGGTTCCATCGCCGACGACCTTCTTTGGAGTTCCACTCCAGGGAGAAGCCTTGGGTGTCAGGGGGAAAGATCAACAACGGTTTGATTGCAGTGAATACATTGGAAATCTTTCACCCTTCCTGAAGTGAAGGTGACTGTCAGATGAGAGGCTTGCAGAAGCTTGACATTGTCAGCATACAATCAAACGAGGACGTCCGGACTTACAGTACGAGAGACGTGTCGGGAACCTGAGTGAGCGAGCTGACTGGACATGGTTCATGCTGCGAGTGCTCTTAATAGATATCGAATCTCCCCTCTCTGGGTCAATACACCATGCAACCCTTTGTCCCACAGACGATGGCTACAGAGGATGACGAACGGGGATGGGTTCGTTACAGTTGGTAATATGAGTTTTCGCACGCAACCACTGCTGTTGCCATGTACGTAGTGGACTATCTGCTCCTTCGTTGTTACCTCCACGCGCCTTCTACATAATGTAGACCTAAGCGACAAAGTATCGTCCCTCTATCGGAACAGAGTAGGCTGAGACGCTACGCGCTGACTGTGATCACACCATGGGAGTTCCATCGTGGCACATCCTCATCTGGGCACTCATTCCACTTCTTCTCCTTCTTCGTATGCTGCTGCCCTGATGAAAAGATCATGGTTTTCGGGCCCGTCTTGCATCCGTGAACCCGCGAGCACATTCTTGGGTCAAGAAGCTCATTACAGTGCCTCCATTCTCTTCAGCCGGTTACTTTCGCCAGCATACTTCTCGCAGACAAGCCTCGCGAACCTGTCACTGAGCGGAAAGCAAGGCGGTGTACTCGCCGCCTCTCCCCAGCGTGGGATGCAATGTGCGACGTAGAGGATCTCAGGGTCTTGTGTTTCCGAAGACGTTCCCTAGTTGCGCTTAAGGAAGGAACCTGCCGGTGATCCGACCGAGAGTCGCACGGATGATGCCGCTGAGCATGACCGCCTGCAATCGATCGGCCAGCACGTACAACCGGAGTTGCATTTCCATCGAGAGGTTGCCAATTGCAGATCTATACGCGTTTACCTCAAGGAGTGACTGCCTATGGCGCGACTGTCTCGGCAAATATTCACTCTCCTTGCGAAAACGATTGAGCTGTGCTGCCTCTACATAGAGAGGGACCGAGCGGAGGCCGTAACCCGCAAATGTACAGTATGTGAAGTGTTACGCATTGGTGGTGATACACTGGCCCTTCTAGGGAGATGTTTGTTCCCTATCGCGTCAGATCTGCGGTATTCCGTCCGCACTGTACAACGCGTCGCTGCAACCTCCTGCCACTCATTTGTTGTGAATCAGGACAGCAATCGGTTCAGTCGACTACTTTGGGATGATTCCCTAGATTGGATGGAGAGAGACCTGAAAGGCACTTCCAGAACAATTGTTTGGGCCAAAGGGCATGGTCGTGACCTCTTCTCTTTAGCCTTTGGGTCGAATATGCGCCAATTTGGGGCGCGGTAGCCGACGATCACCGTTGGATAGTTCCCATTTCAATAAGATCTTTCGCACCATTCGAAAACAATCCCTGTGTGTCCAGCTTCATCTTGCCGCTGGCTCCCTCGAAACTGACCCACATGAAGCCTTCTAGAGTCATCAGCCTCCGTGTTGAGGCGAATGGATAATACACTGCTTGACTGATTGACCGCCCGACCCTTGCTAGCAGTGACCGTGAAGGAGGTGTTTCCGACTCCGGCATTTCTTCATCGTCCCTCATGAATTCGGGATATTCCATCTGCGTCACAAACTTCTGGTCCATCTGAAAGTGATAGGGAGCAATCATGTATACTTTCGGCCGTAGAAAGGGCAGAGGCCGGCGCACTTGCACCGCCATCTTAACCATACCATCCATCGAGACCAAATCAATGGACTTGATGATCCGTAACGACCGCATGATGATAAGCCAGCCGATGGCTGAGAACACGATGATGCCACAACGGTGCGCAGTCGGCACAATCCAGTGCAAGCCGGTGTCCCCTTCCCACGCCCACAGATTCGCATACGCGAGAAAGCCCGCAATGGTGACAGCACTGCCACCCATGATCCATGATGCTGCGTATATTCCAAAGTGCGACGGAGGCCTGTAGATGGCTGTTTGCCCAGAATCATACAGCTTCTGGGCGTACCACTGCTTCCTGGCGAGCTCAGGGGGAAGATCGTTCAGCCGCGATTCTGTTGCATCCAGTACGGGTATGCTGGATCTCGGGGCTTTAGGGGGCTGCAGAGATACTTGAGGTTTCGGCCTACTCGACTTTGAGACGGGTGGTTGAGAGACGGTGTTGGTTTGCTTCAAGCTGCTCCGGGCAGATACAGTGGCAGAGCTCGCGCAGCGACGGGATAGGCATGAATGGGCGGCTCGCAGTCGGAGCAGAGGTCGGACGGAATTCGAGACGGTAGCCATGAGTTCGGTATCGCGCGTTAACAGGAACAGGACAACCTTTTAGAATGAACGGAGAGAAGTGAAGACACGACCCCTACACTGCGGACCCATCACCATCTGCAAACTTGTGAAGATACACAAACAACGAAGAAATCTTAATGTCGCATTGCATTGTATTGCAAGAGGCGACCTGCGGCGGATATGGACAAAAGTTTTAAGGTCGCGACACTCCGCAGCGTCCGTTTGGAGAAGGTCGAGCGCAGCCTTGACCGAAGCCTCACGTGCCTCACTGGCTGCCCCTGAAAGAGGCTTGTCCTCCGGCTGCCACTCGTGCCACTCCAGCGGCTCTCCTGCTCTCCTGCTCTCCTCTCGAGATTCTCTGTTCAACTACTTTTCTCTCCTGTTGATTTTTTGTATACATCCACACGCTTGTCTCTGATCAATCACCATTCATTTGCCATGAGTCACGCGAACATCGCTTCCCGTACTCAAGTTTGGTACTCACCACAAAGGTGCCTTGTTCCTCACCAGAGCAGGGGTCGCGAAGAACGTGGTTTCAAAGGATATCTCCACGGTTCCCCATATGTTGAAATGCGGCGATACCTCCTGGTGGATGAGAGCCCTACGCAGCGAACAAGCTTCAAAGATGCAAGCCCCCTTCCTCTGTATTTCTTGTGGACTCAACACCAGCACCCTCTTGAATTGCTTCGAGAAGCGTAGGAGGCACGTTCTGGCCGTTGCTTTCTTCAACCACGCCGAGTAGCTTCTGGAAGAAATCTTGCCGCAGCACCTTCATCAGGATGTCGTCCTTGTCGATCATGTTCGATGAAGCGTAGAGGAGGATTCCCCCGACGGGTTCGTGCCCATCGGTTTGACCCATAAACTGGGTCTCGATCTGAGGCAGTGACGATGTCGTTACAGCACTCCAGTCGTAAGGCGCGACCCTGGCAATGAAGTCGAATAGCCTCGCCTGAGATATCGTCACAAGTTGTATGCCCTTCTTTGTCTTCAGATCTCGCTTCGACTTCAACAATGACGTCCATTCATAAAGAATCACATACACCTCAGGATCGTGAAACACCCGCCGCCACAGCAGACCCTGACCTTGTGCCTCGGCGAAGCTGCGGCCGGCCGAGAGTACGGTTGTGCTGTTGGGACTGTCAACCGCGAGCAGAGCTTCAAGAACCTCCAACGAGCGCTCTGCCACTTCCGTGCTCTCCGAAGACAGCCATGTCGTGAATTGACATTGAACAAGACTTGAACTGGCCGCGACGAACGATGCTCCGCTCGGTGAGTCTGCAGCTTTGCGAAGATAGGCCAAGCAGAGCAATTGTATTGGGACTGAGGACGAGGTCAGACCCCCTTCGAGTTTCTCTGCCGAGATGGTTGTCTTGAGCTCGTCGAAGGGTAGCAGTGAAATGACGCGCTCCAGGAGCCGCGTGAGAGGCCGCGGGTCTTGTTGGAGTGTCTGTAGTAGATTCTCACCAGTGCTCAGAACTCTCCACAGAAGGTCCTTTGGTGAGTTGAATGTAAGATTCCTGTCTGCTCGCCTCAAAAGTTCTTCATCTAGCGGCGAGCCCTGCGTCCCGACAGCGGCAAGATGCGCAAAGACTTCAGGGAATAATTTGTCTGTATCATCAACCAAGGCATCCATTCTGAGGGCTGACTTCAAGTGCTCTGTGACAACAGATTCGAGGACATTGTAGAGTTTTTGAACCCAGACGGAGTGAAGACGAGCGTTACGAATGTTGTGGCAGCCTTGCGTTCACCTCGCCTCCTCGCTACCCTGTCGTACCCCACTACTTGGTAAACGAGAAAGTCGCTTGACTCGCTGCTCGCCGATGTTTCCCCCGGCGTCTCTGAAGTTCATCATCTCCAACTCACAAGGCTCCGCATCAGTGATCGTGAAACCCGTTTCATCTCTGATTCCACCACCTCAACATCCCTTCTCCTTCCCTCTGCCTTGACCGTCACGATGGCCGAACCTTCCAGCAACCCTCTCATATCATCAAGACCCTCCGAGAGCGGCCTCACCGTGTCTCTGCACCCTCTCGCCCTGCTCACAGTCTCCGATCAAGTTACAAGACATTCAGTACGAAAACAAGAAGGGCCTGTTGCTGGCGCACTTCTAGGCCAGCAGAGAGGCAGAGAAATCACAGTGGAACATGCCTTCCCCGCAGCGTTGGTGGAAGGACCGGATGGCCGATGGCAGTTCAACTACGAGTGGATGGGGACGAGAATACAGCAATGTGAGTTTCGTTGGCACTCTCGCTGCCGGCCCTTGACTCTGACGCGCACCAGATAAGGACGTCCACAAAGCGCCAGCGCTCGAGTTCGTAGGCTGGTTTGCCCTCTGCCCGTCTGACGGCCCTCTGCCTGAATTCGTGTCTCTCCAGAAACAAGCCATCACCTTCTACAGCGACAATGCGATCCTGCTCGCCTTGCACCCCGAAGCTATTGCGGTCGGGGCCCCGACAGGCGGCAAATTGCCCATCACCGTCTACGAGAGTGTCATCGACGCTGAACCAAAAGATGAAGGCTCAATGCAAGTGGACGGCCATGAGACATCGGTCATCAAGTTTCGCCCACTACCCTACTCGATCGACACGGACGAGACGGAGATGATTGCGATAGACTACATCGCAAAAGGCGCCGGTAGCGCGGCGGCCATCGACGACACACCCATAGCGGTCCAGCCAAGCGAGGCTCTTCCGGCGGACAAGAAGGGCAAGAAGCGCGCAGACCCAAGCCCCGAGGCCGTGGAGACAAAGCCGACCAACGGCGTCGAGGAACCACTCAAGACACTGACAGCGGAAGAAGAAGACCAAATCGCCGGGATAACGACGCGGCTCAACAGCGTCAAGATGCTGCAGTCCCGCCTCGCTCTCATCCAAACATTCGTGCAGTCTCTCCCCCCATCATGCCTCTCAAGCCCGCCGTCCTCGGACTCCGCCTTCCCAGACCCAGCTCACCTCCCTCACCTGCGCAACATCCAAGCCCTCCTCACGCGACTCGCCCTTCTCACGCCCCCAAGCGATGGCTCGTCCACCTCTGCGAAAAAAGCACTCGCATCGGCCTCCCTTTCGCAATCCAACGACGTCTCCCTCGCCTCCATACTGTCCCTTCTCGGCCAAGACATCCAATCGCTCAGTGAACTGGGCCGCAAATTCTCCACGGTGGAATCCAACAAAACCGGTACAAAAGGCAAGCACTCACAGCAGCCAGGCGCCGGGGCGAAAGGCACAGCAGGCGTTGGAGGCGGAATGGGCAGTGCCGGAGGTGGCTTCTCGGGCTTGGGTAACGGTGATGGTGGATTTGGCGGGGCTGGATCCCAGGCCTTGAATACCGTCGGCCCGCTGATGTAATGCATAGGTCATTGGCTTCGCCAGACTAATGGACGGATCCCAAGAGGGATTCGGTCGATTCGATGTGGAAAGCAGATACCACGAAACAAACGCAAGTGAAAGTGAAGAACCGAATTCCGACACGAGGGTTCAGGCGCGGAAAAAGTCAACCTGTCGCGAAACGCCACCTCTCCAGCAGACAAACCCACAATTCTGGAGACAGGGATGGCTTCTTTTTCACCGATCTTCCTGTCCACCTGTATCAGTGCCTAATGATGGCTATCATCGGTCAGTGATGGTGGATACAGGGGGTGCAGAATCGTCAGAGCACCGGTACCGATACCAATCCCGGAGCAGGAGTATGAGCCCAAGCACGAAGATCAGCTGAGATCAGACGAGATGGGGAATTGATCACGCATGACGAATAGACGGGAGCGGGCTCCTCTTTACGATGCAGCAATGGCATAGCGACGGCGTTGAGAGGACCATGACAGGCACGGTGGGAAAACGGCGGCGTGCCCGACGGCGGATATAGAAATGGAAAAGGCAAAAACCATATCACAATCTGAGAAGGACCATGAAAGTCCGCTTCTCTGCTGCAGTCACGCTTACGCTTGTCCCAGCGAGGAATTTGCGAGATGAAATGCAGACCGACGGATCTTCCACGAGGGCTAGGACACAGAGGACCATGTGTTCCAAATTGGAGAATCATTCGACGGCATGTATGTCGTTATTGCAACGTATTTCAGCCCCGAGGGCAAAGCTCATGTATATCTCGGAAGACGGCCGCGGCACCCGTTCCTCAAGCACCAAGCTCTTAATATGTTCTCACTTGTGTATGCCGCCGCAGATGAGCTCGTAAATTCAGATAACCCACCCACAATACAGACATGAAGATCCTCCCCCGGGAAGGAAGTGCGAGGGCACAATGCACCTCGAAGTTTGCTATTTTAGCATTAGACAAAGGTCGTGAAAATACAGCCCGGAACATTTCGTGAAAGGTGGGACAGATGGTAGGGTGGTTGCTTTTGTTGGGTATGTTTCCTTTCCTCGACCACGAGGGAGAGCGATTGTTAAAACTCCTGTGCCCATTGTCCTGAACGCCTACGCTGCTGGTGTCGTAAAGAGTGTGAAAGCTGAAAGTAGACCGTATAAATCTGAGCAGAAGAGGGGGTAAGCTCGTTCTGGAAGTTTAGGTGACCAGAACGTCGGCCGGTCGTTGTCTCCTGTGGAATAGATTTGGAATCCTGAACTTCTTCTTGGGGGGTTCCTGGGCCGCCATTTGATTGGAAGACCCATAAGGACGGGATGCTTTGGGGGCCTCGATCGCCGGCATTGCAGGCATTGGGGGCGTTGAGCTGGTCGAAAAACTCCTCCCTTCAGCGGTCATACTTTTCTTCTTGCGGATACTCTTCATTAGCCTGCTAATGTGAGGTTGTTTCTGTTCTTCGAGAGTGGACAACTCAGGTGGAGGCGGAGGTAGACTTTTGTTCAGATCAGGAGCCGAAAATCTGACTGGGCGCGACTGCTCCATGGATTTGGCACTGCCACTTTGTGGACGTGATGATCCGTCGGTGATGAGCCGTAGAGTCTTTTTGAGGGCTTCTGCTTCGCCTGAGTGCTTGTGTGCTTCGACCGACCGCACGCCGGTTGATGTTGTCCGGCTATTTGTCATATTATTTGAGTCGTTGCGGAGGTTACTACCGGGTTTCTTGGCACCTGTGATGGACTTCCGTGCGGCGTCAGAGAAGCGTCGCGCCGTTTCGCCAGGTGTGATGCCCGCACTCGTCAGAGGCGTGGAATAGTCGGTGGCGCTGATGGTATCGCGGTGTGAGGCCTCTGAGGGTGTCGACGAGTCACCTTGTACGTCGAGGAATTGGTGTGTCACACTGGCTGTAGTCTCAGTGTTCTGTACCGGGTCCGGTTTCTGCTCTTGTTTTGCGATGCTTTGCTGCGCTGCCTTATTTCCTTCTTGAATCTGGGCGGCGATGTACTTGAGAGGATCATCCGACATGTCGTCCGAATGTGGCACATGTGCCAACACCAGGGCACAAATCCGCTTCAACTCTCCCTCTTCTTGTGCGCTGAGTTCCTGCCGGCTGATGATGGGTGAGCTTGGAATGAAATGCGGGTCATCGTCGTCTCCCCGGTACTTTTTGGGGATAAGAGACTGGCGATAAGTTAGCTTAGACCCCGGTATAGCCGCGATAATTTTCATACCGAAGTGTTCGCCGGCAACCCAAGTTTGCTGCTCATGGTGTCTGTAGAGCCTGTATTTGAAGAAATCGCGACGTTGTAGGAGTACTGAAGATGTGTGAACGGCAATTTGTCCGAGATGCTAGACACATGCATGTGAGGTTCAGGTGAACCTCGTCCACAACATGTCGGAGCCGAAAGTGAATTTTCAACCTGTATGGTCCTCCAGGGAAACAGTCGTTCTATTGCCTTCCGGAAGATCCCTCGACTCGTCACAGAAAATCTCCGTGAATGGTAGTACCAGGGTAGACACCTGATGTATCGAGCCGAAGAGCAAGTCAGGTAAAGTACAACAAGAATCACAGCGACGCGAAAGGGAGGAGTCAGTGACACCTCGAAGATTGTGATATTAGTATTATGCTGGTCGATGTATCCATTACGATCAGCAGTGAGCTGGCAGTAGTCAGCGTGAGGTTTCAGCTTCAAGCTGACCTCGTGAAGGCCATATCTGTGAGTGGGCCATTGGATAAAGCTCAGCAAGGGGTCCAGGGCCTGCCATCCTGCCATCCACGCGGTGGCTTGTCTGACCAGTGGGATGTGAGGTTAGCATCTGGCCTATCTGATCCCAAAGTCGGCACCAAGGACTGTGAAAGAACATAAGCGAGGATGCAACTTCGGGTGATGTAAAAAAGGCGTCAAGTCTAGAGCGCAGGTAAGGGCAATGATTGGCGGCGCAAATTGACAGAGATTGGAAACAGAGAGAAAGAGGAAAAGAGCCATCGAGGAAAAGTCCAAGCGAGGCCTGTGCGAGCAAGGGGCACCTAGCCAGGCTGCCAGGCCAAAGGGGGAGGACCCCAGAAACAAGCGGGAACAAGCACGGAGCCTACGAATCACAGCAATGCACCTACGGAGCGGTTCCTTGGCGCCTGTCGACCTCATTTAGGTTCGCCTGTGTCGGAGGAAAGGGCACGGCGCACCCGCCGCTCGTCCAACCTGCTCCCAGGAGGTCTGCAACAGGCCTCGAAATCGTCCCCTCATCGCCTACCAAAGTCTGAAATCTTTCCAAGCTGTTGCCATGATGGAACGACCACGTTAGACCCGTATTATCCATGCATACACTCGACCAGCCGAGATAGGAGAGCCTAGTCAAAAAATCTCTGAACGCTGACCACCCCTGGAGGTTGGCCAGATCCGCATTGGTCTGGTGCAGTCCTCCAAATATTCTCCGGACCTTCCCTGTACACTTAGTTAGGTATGACATGATGCGATATCATGATTCCAAAGAATGGTTACAGTAGGTGCCGGTCGCTACATGTTGATTACTGCACCAGGTTCCCCATGCCCGAACTCTCAACTCCGCTCGCGTCCTGCAGGTCATTACGGTAAAATCTCCGAACCTTGATGAGTCCAGCAGAGCTGGAAATTAGATCCGCTGTCAAAAGTCCAACTCCAGCTGCAAGACCTCATGATACTGCGGTCAATGTCGTCCGCAATGAAAGACGCATCTCCAAAGCGTCTCGATAACATGGTACCCGCCTACCTGAACAGAACCTTGGTAAGAACGCCGTCGTCAGCAATCGTCTTTGTCAGATTCGCCATCCTGCCGTGGCGATCAATGTACCCAGTAGTACGAGTAAGATAATTTGCCTGAAATGGACTACTCGAACGAGGGCATGGCCACCAACGAGTGAGTCTAGCCACCGGCATAACGAACGACAGTGTTCCCGAGCATAATTCGAGTTCGAAAGACTCTTTCCATCCGGGATTGAGCCCGGAACCCATCGCTGAATTGCCGCAGTACCCTGTCGCTCTTCGCAGGGATGCCACATGTTTGGTGCATCTTTGCACTGCTCACACCGCGCACCTGAGCGCCTCACGGACAGCAAGTTGAAGCACGCCGCACGGCAGGCTCTACTGTCCTGGAAAGACCGTCGATGATTGCGAGACTGTTTCGTTGATTTTACGGGTAGTGATAGCCATTGAGTCATCATCAACAAGCCTCCATCCAGTCTTCCCCACCACTGATCTTATCTAATTGCCAAAGACAGCGGAGAGTTTTCTCTGGCCATTCTCCGAAAGATCTGAATGGCATCAACATGGTCTGGTACTCTCTTAGACCCTTCCGCCTGAGCGCGAGCACTCCAGCTGTTGATATCGAACGTACCCATATTGACATCAACCCGATTCCGCTTACCAGATCAGTTCCCTTCGAAATCTCGTTTTAGGCGCTCCACAGTCCTGGAACCGCGGTAAACATCGCGACAATTGTTGCCACGAATGGCTGAAGACCGGTTATGCGGTATGACCTGCCGTTTGTAGTCCCTCGTCATGCGTGGTATACCAGTGTTGGGTCCTTCGCTTGAGTCCAGTCTGGCTCGAACATATGATTGCTTTCTCTCAAGTCAAAGAATTCACTCTAGCATGCCATGGATTTGATCTCTTGCACAAAGCTGATAGATCGATAATCGGGCGCTCGTGTCCGACAGTCGCCACCATGCTACGCGTCTGCGTAAGGCCCAGCATACTTCCAAACAACAGCCAGATTTGTATAGGGGCAACAAGACCAAACTGAGAGGTATGAGGATCTGCCCACCAACATACTAATGGGTGGTTTCTGTGGCGGAAGCTCCGTCCTGCAGGTTGGACTCTGGCGTTCTGTGTATGATTGATTCCTCAGGAGGGCTGAGAATGTGAGCACCCAGGTGGACATAGGCGGGACTTCACCTTGAGCTCATGACGGATTTTAGAGCCGTGGCACATGATTCTGTCAATCCAGATTTTCTTGCACATTGCAAAATTCCAAAGATTGAGAGTCACAAGCCTCGTACCTAGGTAGTCGGTAGCCACGATAGCTCAGCCTTGCTGCGGAGACGAGGCTGAGTTCCCCGCGAAATCCCACCACAATAATTTTGGTGGTTCGCCGTTGTTTGATTCAGTCACAATTAGCAGGCCGTCTCCTGCTCGATTTCAAGGGATCAAGCCCAGTCCATGGACGATGGGTGACATTGCGGAACAGGCTAGTCCAGACACTCTGGATGCCCAGCTTGTCGCGCTCAATAGTAGCTCTACGAACATCCGCATCGAGGCCCTGCGGAAACTGCAGCACGCGATTCAAGCCGATGGTATGGTAACTGGATTGCGACCTACGAGTAGAGTCTAACTGTTTGTACAGGTGACACCATCTCGGCAGACCACACGATTGTCCTGCCTGCTCTGCTTGCGACCTATCCTCGATATCCAGATCGAAAGTCTCGCCGTGCGGTGCAGTCATGCCTCCGAGCATATCTCACAACTTCATCGTCTGCTAGTGTTGTCTACTCTGCGATCACGAAATTCTTGGGCCAAGAAAGTCAAAAGGCGGCTATAGCACCTGGAAATGCCTTTGTCTTGCTTGAATGGTGCTGCCTTGTTCAGCAGGAAATCCGACACCATGAAAAGTCGTTTGCACTGTTCTTTGGCAAGTTATGCATAGCCGCAGCTCGTCTGTTGGACAAGTGCGAGGACAAAGTGGTCCGTGGTGGAGTACAAGACTCGGCTTTGACTATCGCCAGACGAGGTTTGCGCGATGTATTCAAAACAGACCGAGGTGAGAAGGCGCTGCAGCTGGCCCTCCAGGACGTTGCGAGCTCCAGCGATTCGAATGCCAGTCATGGGCCGTACCTGGGCGTCATCGCCGGCGTCAGCGCCCGTATCCCGGAGAGAAAAGAGCAGCTCCTGGGTCTCAAGAAACACGTCCTTGATTTTTACCTCAAGTCCATCGTCGGCTCCAAGACTGCAGTGCCATTCCATGAATCAATGGGCCTGAAAGATTTCTTCCTCGACTTCGTCACTGCCCAAGATGTGGGCGAGGTCGTGATACCTGCGATCGAGAAGTCGATCTTAAGGTCACCTGAGGCGATCTTGCAAGGAACCGTGGAAGCGCTGTCTCAATGTTTACCGACAAATGTTGATATCTCAGGGGTCGTCAGTGCAAAACTGGTGAAACCGCTGTTATCAGCCATGAACTCTACCAATGCAACTATCCGTGACGGAGCAGGTAAAGCACTGTCCGCGCTGGTTGGCAGAGGCGGATCAGCAGACTCTTTACAAAAGATCGCGGGAGAACTCGGAGCGGCAATCAAGGCTTCCAAGGCAGGAAGCTTTGAACTTCGTGGCATTCTTGCCGATGTCCTGCTAAAGATAGCCCCAGAGACCAAGACATCGGCAGTCATTGCGCAGGCCATCGTCCCTGCTGGGTCCAAGGAAGCTAACGAAGGAGCTTTGAGAAAAGAGCTGGCTGCACTTGCTCCTCACCTGCAGCTTCTTGTTGCCTCGGCGGCTCTTGACAAGTCTCTTTCAGACCCAGTGCTGAAGGGCTGTGCCGACAAAAGACTTCCCTTTCGCAAACTGTGGGTTTTGTGCCTTGCAACTGTGCTCAAACACCTCCACACTGTTTCTGCCGAGCAATCATCACAAGATTTTGTCAAGGCGGCTCTGAAAGTGCTGAGGGAGGTACATGAGGAAGTTGCGTCTAATCCACTACCGGCGACTCAGAATGGCTACGTTGCCGCAGGGTTCGGTCTTCCCGGACTGCTTGACGCACCGATTCTGATGGCAGAGGAGTACAAATCCAATTTTTACGACGAACTCCGGAACCAATCTCTGGCTGTTCAACCCAGGCTATCTTTCATACTCAATCCAAAGGTCTACACCCGGCTCACAGCAGGGGATGATTGCCATTGGGCGCTCTACGCGCTGACAAACCTGGCTGGTAGTCTTGAGAGAGCGTCAAAGGAAGCGAAAACAGCATGGGCCACCGCCGTGTTACACCTAATGCTCACTCCGGAGGTCGATTCTACAGTCCGAAAAGAGACCGGAGTTGCTTTGTCGCATGCTTATACAGAGCATCCTGCCTCGGTAGGCGAAAGCATAGTCCTTGGTATCTGGGATGTGCTTCGAAGCCGCGCAAAGGAGCTTGCTGATGAGGCCGAGCATTCCCTAAGTGATAATCGTCTGTTGGTAGCGGTGAAATGCATCAGCTACTCGAAGGATGAGCTCGGATCCATTCCTTCGGAAAGAGCATCTGAGATTCTCAAGAGCCAAGCCACCTCTACCATAGCACTGTTACGCCCGGAGCTGATTGCTAACGCTGACTGGATCGCTACCTGCCTCGCGACCGGCGTTGATCCCGGAGAACTTGCGGCAGAGCGGCAGGAATCGCTTTTCAAGGAGATCCTAGCACAATTTGAGCCTGGCAAAATGGCATCGTTGAATATCTTTGAAGTTGCAGCTTGCAATGCTGCGGCTACTTTGGCATTCGTGGCGCCAGAGACGTTAACACCGGCACTGATCCACCAATTCCAGAGTGACTTGGACTCTGCCCAGCTGGATGGTGTAGGCCCAACTGAGGCCCTGATCGCTCGCGCCCCTGAGGGTACCCTCGTCATAGATGTTCTCGGTTCGCAAACGAATGGCATTTTAGAGAACAAGAACCAGAAAGACTATGACACCCTGAAATGGGAGGAAGAAATGCGTGCGCAGTTGGCAAAGAAGAAAGGGGCTCCTCAGAAGAAGTTGACCCCTGACCAGCAAGCAAAGGTCGATGCTCAGCTTGCACAGGAAACGGAAACCCGAGCAAGAGTCAAATTTCTCTCAAGTAAGCTAAGAAGGGGTGCAAAATTTATCGAGGGTCTCGCTCGAGGTCCGCCAACCGACCCAGGAAGTTGGATGTCTCCAGCTATTACCGCCTTGACCCGAGCACTCGAAGAGGGTGCGGCACTCATCGTCGATGATGAGATTGTCTCATCGTATCTGGCTTGCTCGGACAAGATATCGGATCGGCTTGGTACCATGCGTCCGTTTGTCGGCGTTGCCACTTTGAGGTCTCAAGGGAATGCAAACATTCCAGAACATCTTTCTGTTGAGCCTTTGGCGGAGCTCGGGACCAGAGTCCTCTACAGACTTCGATTCGCTGCTGAGCAACGTCCTTTCGATACCGCAACTACCGCCTACGCTCTGCCGCTTATCTTTTCTGTCCTGGAAAATGGCAAGATTGGAGAAGTGGCTGCGGACGATGCGGATGCACAAGTCCTCCTCGCCCTTGAGTTCTTGTCCTTTCAGATGGGATCAGCTGCAGACGAGCACCTTCCAAGAGCTCAGATCCTACGCCACTTGATCGGCGCCATGCAAAGATATACCCAGCACTATCGGACCATTAGAGATTGCTTTTCTGAACTCTGTCGCTCGATTTCGGAGAACATTTCTGCCGAAGAGAGGGATATCCTTCTTTCAGCCTTGGTCGTTCCCGAGTCGACCGTTCGGTCTGCGGTGCTACAATCAATTCACTCAGATATTGACCTATCTGAGATTGACCACTCCGTTCATTTGTGGATCGCTTGTCAAGATGACGAAGACGAAAATGCCGATCTCGCGCTAGCCATCTGGGATGAGGAGGAATTCAGCGTGACTGACGAATTGGTCGAGAACATACCCGATTTCCTATTTTCAGCTGCACGGTCGACTAGGACGGCCGCATCCAAGGCTCTCGCTCAAGCACTCCTTCAGATACCTGCAAAGACTGATTCAATATTGGTATCTCTTCAAAAGTCATACCGCACCGAGAGTCAACCGCTTGTTCCAAAGCGGAACAAATTCGGCATTATCCAGAAAGGAGAGTTGATCGATCAATGGGAGAAGCGGAGTGGCCTTGCTCTCGCTTTCAAGGAGCTGTCTTCAGTTCTCCACACAGAGGCTCTGGTCCCATTCATGAACTTCCTTGTCTCAGACGGGGCCCTCTCCGATCGGAATGCTACTGTGCGCTCAGAAATGGTCGCTGCTGGCACTGCCATCGTGGCAGCTCGAGGGAAGGATTGTCTTGAACCTCTAATGGGTTTGTTTGAGAGGGTCTTGCAAGGGCCAGATAAAGGGACTCAAGAAGCAGATTGGGTTAACGAAGCCGTGATTGTTCTGTATGGATCTTTAGCGAGGCACCTTCCCGACGGCGACAAGCGAACCGGCAGCGTTATCCAAAAGCTACTTGACACGTTGAGTACGCCATCTGAGTCTGTCCAATTTGCTGTGGCGAATTGCCTGCCTCCCCTGGTCCGTCCCGCCAGCGTTGAAGCCGGGCCCTATGTTGCCGCACTTCTCGATCAACTATTCCAAAGCAAGAAGTATGCCGCTCGTCGAGGTGCAGCATACGGTTTGGCAGGCATCGTCAAGGGCAAGGGCGTTGCAGCTCTGCGGCAAAACAGGATAATGATGGCGTTACGGAGCGCGACCGAAGACAAAAAGAGCCCAGAGAAGCGGCAAGGCGCAATGATGGCCTACGAGCTATTGTCAGCGCTCCTGGGACGGACCTTTGAGCCCTACGTGATCGAAGTACTTCCACAACTACTGACCTGCTTCGGTGACCCTGTCGCGTCTGTCCGTGAGGCTTGCTTGGACACGGCCAAGACGTGCTTTGCAAGCCTGAGCTCGTTTGGCGTTTCTCAAGTGTTGCCTCAGTTGCTTGAGGGACTAGACGAGACGCAATGGCGGAGCAAGAAAGGAGCTTGTGATCTCTTGGGCGCCATGGCCTATCTTGACCCTCAGCAACTGGCCACAAGTCTGCCAGAGATCATCCCGCCCCTGACGGCTGTGCTTACAGACAGTCACAAGGAAGTCCGAGCCGCTGCCAACAGCAGTCTCAAGAGATTTGGCGAAGTCATCACCAACCCGGAAGTTAAGAGTCTCGTTGACGTCTTACTGAAAGCACTAAGTGATCCAACCAAATACACCGAAGAGGCGTTGGACGGATTGATCAAAGTCAATTTCATCCATTATCTCGATGCCCCATCACTGGCACTTGTTGTCAAGATCCTGGAGCGTGGCCTCAACGATCGCTCGGCGACCAAGCGAAAAGCTGCCCAGATCATTGGCAGTCTGGCACATCTGACAGAGAAGCGAGATATCGTCACTCATTTACCCATCCTCGTCACAGGCCTGAGGCTCGCATCAATCGACCCAGTGCCCGCAACACGCGCGACTGGCTCAAAAGCACTCGGCAGCTTGGTGGAGAAGTTGGGTGAAGACGCATTCCCAGACCTGATACCGAGTTTGATGGCCTCGCTCCGCACAGACACGGGCGCAAGCGATCGGCTTGGGTCTGCCCAAGCCCTCAGTGAAGTCCTTGCTGGGCTTGGAACCAGTCGTCTGGAGGAAACTCTACCATCTATCTTGCAAAACGTGGCCAGCCCCAGAGCAACCGTCAGAGAAGGATTCATGACTCTGTTCATCTTCTTGCCGGCCTGTTTTGGCAACAGCTTTGCCAACTACCTTGCACAAATCATCCCTTCGATCCTCAGTGGTTTGGCCGACGACGTCGAGGCCATCCGTGAGACTGCTCTTCGAGCAGGACGATTGCTTGTCAAGAACTTTGCAACCAAGGCCATCGACCTGCTTCTACCTGAATTGCAACGCGGTTTGGCCGATGACAGTTACCGCATTCGTCTCAGTTCAGTCGAACTCGTCGGTGATCTCCTGTTCAACCTCACCGGCATCAGTGCTCAAGCAGAAGCCGAAGAAGAAGGCGAACACGCAACCCAAGCAGGACAATCGCTCCTCGAAGTCTTGGGCGAAGAGAGGCGCAACAAGGTCCTGTCCTCCCTCTATATTTGTCGTTGCGACACTTCTGGACAAGTCCGAGCAGCTGCCATTGCTGTTTGGAAGGCCCTTGTTGCAACACCAAGAACTCTCCGCGAATTGGTGCCGACGCTTTCTCAAATGATCATTGCACGCCTTGCATCCTCGAACATGGAGCACAAGGTCATTGCTGCCAATGCTCTGGGTGAAGTGATTCGCAAAGCTGGGGACGGCATCTTTGCTACCTTGCTGCCGTCGCTTGAGGAAGGCCTGCAAACCTCGACCGACTCAGACAAGCGGCAAGGTATCTGCATCGCTCTCAGGGAGATTGTCAATGCTGCTTCACCGGATTCTCTGGAAGACCATGAGAAGCAATTGATTTCCATAGTCCGCCTGGCGCTTACAGATTCTGACCCCGAAGTCCGTGAGGCAGCCGCCGAATCCTTCGATTCACTGCAACAGACGTTCGGTAAGAGAGCAGTCGACCAGGTGTTACCACATCTGCTCAATTTGTTGCGCACCGAAACCGAGGCCGAAAATGCCTTGTCGGCATTGCTTACCCTGCTCACAGAGGCAACGAGAGCTAATGTTATCCTGCCCAACCTCATACCCACGCTGCTCACGAACCCCATTACTGGATTCAATGCTCGTGCTCTCGCGTCTTTGGCTAAAGTTGGAGGAGCAAGCATGGCTCGCAGGCTACCCACAGTCCTGAACAGTCTCGCGGATAACATAGTCATGTGCAAGGACGATGAACTTCGAGGCGAGCTGAATGAGGCCTTCAGCGCGGCTCTGTCGTCTGTCGACGAGTTCGACGGCCTCAACACCGCCATGAGCGTCATGCTAGCAATGATCAAACACGACGACCATAGAAGACGCGCGCTGGCAGCAAATCACCTGGCCACATTCTTTGCCAACCCGGTCGTGGACTATTCCCGCTACAACCAGGACCTCATCCGCGTCCTTCTCATTTCTTTTGGCGACCGCGATCACGAAGTCGTCAAAGCCGCCTGGTCTGCGCTGAGCCAATTGCAGTCACATCTACGCAAAGAAGAAATGGAATCACTCGTTTCCTCGACCCGTCAAGTGCTCCAACAAGCCGGCACGGCAGGATCAGTCCTACCCGGCTTTGCTCTGCCCAAGGGTATCCTCCCCGTCCTTCAAATCTTCCTCCAAGGCTTGATGAACGGCACGACCGAGCAGCGAGTCCAATCCACCATGGGAATATCCGACATTATCGAGCGCTCCAGCCCCGATGCCCTGAAACCCTTTGTGACGCAGATCACGGGTCCGCTCATTCGTGTTGTAGGCGAGCGATCCATGGACGTCAAATGCGCGATCCTCTCCACTCTGAATCTCTTGCTCGAGAAGATCCCTACTTTCCTTCGGCCCTTCCTGCCACAACTACAACGCACCTTCACCAAGTCCATTGCCGACCCGACGAGCGATCTCCTGCGCACCCGCGCGACAAAGGCTCTCAGTACATTGATCACGCTCACACCGCGCGTGGATCCCCTGATTGCCGAACTCGTCACGGGCGCGAAAACACCAGACAGCGGTGTTCGCAACGCCATGCTCAAAGCTCTTCAGGAAGTCGTCAGCAAAGTCGGATCGAACATGTCGGACGCCTCGCGCGAGTCGATCCTGGGCTTAATGGATACCCTGCAACACGATACACAGGATGATACCATGATGTTTACCAATGCCAGACTTCTTGGCGCGATGATCAAGGTCCTTCCAGCGGAAAAGGCCAGCGGACTGATCAAGACCCGGGTCCTCGTCCAACCGAGCACCAATGCCTCCATCCTGGCTTTGAACGCTGTGCTGCTGGAGAGCGCGTCAAGTCTCACCGAAGATCCATCCTACGCAGAAGATACGCGCCACGTCCTAACCAGCGGCCTTGCCGGCAAGGGTGGCACATTCGTCCAACAAAACGCGGTCCTCGCGGTAGGGAAATACATCCTCTCGCTCCCCTCCACGGTCTTCAACAGCACGCCAGACGTAGAGAAGGAATGTATACCGCTCTTTGAGTCGCTCGCCGCGGTCCTTCCTCCAGGAGGGGACATTGACTCGCGCCGCCTCGCACTGGTTGTCATGCGCACAATCTTCCGGCACCATGGGGATTCATTACGCTCGAGTCCTACCCTGTTAAGCACCCTCGTGCCGCCCGTCTTCGCCAGTGTTCGCGATGTGGTCATCCCCGTGAAGCTCGCCGCGGAAGCTGCCTTCCTCGAACTATTCAACGTCGTCGACGAAGAGAGCGCCATATTCGACCAGTACATGCAATCCGAGAGTGGAGGGAAGAAGCTCGGCGTCGGACCGAGCAGAGCGATGGGCGATTATTTCAAGCGCGTGGCCTTGAGGCTGGGGGCACAGGCGCGGGAGAGAAGAGAGGCCGAAGGAGGTGTCAAAGGGGGGTTAGGACTGAGTGGTGACGAGGAGGAGGACGAGCGGGAGGTGTGGAGTGTTGGGCGGGTGGATCTGGCCGACGAGGCAAAGGGAGAGGAATAGTATTCAGCCTTGCGGCAGGGCTATGCTTGGTTCGCCATGGACGGTCATTGACAGACAGGTTGGGTACGGATGGTGGAGGTGACGTGTGCGACGGGAAGCAGTAGCGACGGGCATGAGGGTGAGCAGTAGTACCCAGAGGAACGAGACCAAGACCTGCCCACCTGGATCGATTACCACCCGACAGAGATAGAACCACACATAGAATATCATGAAGATCAAGACAGTAAAAAGCCTTCAGTCCACGTATCTGCATGCAAATATATTAGTACTTAGGCTATACATTGGTGGTACTACTCGTACAGTCTTGTCCCTGAAGTCGTCCAACGAAAGACGCCATGTGGTTCCCCCGCCACTCTACACAGCCCGCGCAAGAAAGATAGAGGAGATATGCTCAAACACTCTAATCAGAACATGGTGCAAACAGGTCAGCAAGTCTCCGATGGGCAAAAAGAGAGCGCCGCCGCTCATACTTTGCATTACAGTAGTCGGCGCCCAGTTTCATTACTGTAGACGACTTCGGGGAAAGACCGAGGCGAAACGACCAGAATTCAATCTCAGGGAGATGTAAATAGAATGAAGTGGCGATTCTTTTTTCATTTTCCCTCTCCTTGGCCTGGTAAGCCATGACCGACCATGCCTGCCTGCCCGCCTGCGTGCGTCAACCTGGCCGTGAAAATGATGGCCTCATTCATGCCCCCTCCATCCCCATGCGGTACCAAGAGTCGAACCAATAGGCTGGCGAACCGGCGGACAAGCAGGTATGTACCTATGTACCCAGGTATGTATGTACCTAGGTATGCATGCCAAAGATATACACAGACACAACCACAACCACAACCACAGACACACACACAGAGAGAGAGAGAGGGAAGGAGAGTTTCCCCCCCAAATTCCCCAAATATATACACAGCAGAAGTGAATGGAATGGGCTTCGGTCCACTCCCGACCCAAGCTGCCTTGGCTCTTGCTCGTGGGGTCCTTCTGTTCCTTTTCCTGTTCCACTTCCTGGTCTTCGGCTGGAGCGTTCCTTCCGATAAGCGTGAGAGCGGGAGCCGAGCGAGGACGTGAGCGAGAGGAAAAGTAACAGGCCGACGCCACCGATCGACCGACCGACCGACCGACGACATACCCAGGACAAGTACTCCAGAAGCCGTGCTTTCTTCGGCCGGGCATAAGCTCCTCCTCCCTCCTTCCCTTCTTCTTGCAAACCCACGACCGAGACGTAACGTAAAGGATCGAGCGCTGTGCAGTGCTCGACTCATGGGACCGAAAAGTGTTGGGTCTCGCCTTTTTGGTCATACCTCCTCTCGATGCCGGTTTATTCTTTGCTTTTCCTTTTTCTAATCTCGCCCTCGCATTCTTGAAACCCCAATGGTGATATAACACGGACAGTATGAGGACGCCGACGCTATGCACGAGCCAATTACCACAACGAACGTGAAAAAAGGCAGGAAACCATTGATAAGAACGGAGGGCTGGGACTTGGAACATAGGCTTCAGAACGAAGCTTCCATGGTCGCGTTACAAAGAACGAGACACTATGATTCGTGCCGCTTAAACGCTGGGGCCGGCTCCTCTGGTAGATCGCCTGACGGGGCCTGTTGTTCTGTTGGTGGTGGCGGTCTAGATTAATATACACGTTAGTCAAATCGAGGACTGCCACGAAAAGCCACTATAAGCAACCATAAAGGGGACGGACGACTTACGGCGCGCTCTTCTGCCCGTGCTGGTTGTCAAAGTACTTTGCAAAATCGCCCGGATCACCGAACGGTCTGGGTCCCAGGATCCGCACGAGGTCATCCCGGACAAGCATCTCTTTCTTCAACAACTCCTCCGCCACGGCTTGGAGCTGGGATTTCTTCTCCAGGAGCAGGTCCTTGCACTGCTTGTACGCCTCGTCAACGATACGGCGGACCTCGACGTCGATGTTACGCGCCGTTTCCTCGCTAAAGGGCTTGTGCAGGCGTTGCTCGTCGTCACGGTAATGCAGGTAGCCGATCTTGGGGGACATGCCCCACTCAGTGACCATGGCCGTGGCCATCCGCGTCACCTTGTTGAAATCGTCGCTCGCGCCCGACGTGACTGTGTCGAACCAGATTTCCTCACTCACGCGGCCGCCCAAAGTCATGGCCATGCGGTCCATCAGCTGCTTGACGTTCATGAGATACACGTCGCCCCCTCCAGCGGGGAGGTATTGCGCGTATCCTAGTGCGCCTTGACCGCGCGGGATGATGCTGACTTTCAGAAGGGGATCGGCGTCTTTGAAGAACCAGCCGCAGATGGCGTGGCCGGCTTCGTGGTACGCGACCGTCTTTTTCTCCTCGGGCGTCAGCACGAGGGACTTCTTCTCGAGACCGCCGATGACGCGCTCGATGGCCTGTTCAAAGTGGATCATTTCAACCGAGGTGGCGTTCGCGCGCGCGGCGATCAGGGCAGCCTCATTGACACAGTTGGCGATGTCGGCGCCGGAGAAGCCGGGCGTTAGCGCCGACAGCCGGCCGGTGAGGTACTCCAGGTCGACCTTGGTGACGATCTTGCGGAGATGGACTGCGAAGATCTGGCGTCGACCGTCCATGGTCGGTCGGTCGATGGCAATGTGTCGATCGAAGCGACCGGGACGCATCAAGGCCTTGTCAAGAACATCAGGCCTGTTCGTGCCCGCCAGAACAACGACTTGCTCCGAGGTATTGAAGCCGTCCATCTCGGTCAAGATCTGGTTGAGGGTGGACTCTCGCTCGTCGTTCCCGCCGCCAAAATTCTGCTTGGCTCTTGATTTGCCGATGGCGTCGATTTCGTCGATGAAGATGATGCACGGTGTGTTCTTTCGAGCGTTGGAGAACAAGTCTCGCACTCGAGATGGACCGACACCGACGAACATTTCGACAAACTCGGAACCCGAGACGGAGTAGAAGGGAACGCCGGACTCACCGGCGGTTGCCTTGGCCAGCAATGTTTTGCCCGTACCAGGAGGGCCCGACAGGATGGCGCCGCGAGGGATCTTTGCACCCAGGCTTTGGTACTTGGAAGGGTCCTTCAAGAAGGAGACAAACTCCATGATCTCAAGCTTGGCCTCGTCCATACCAGCGACGTCGGAGAATTTCGTCTTGACGTCGGTTTCGTGGTTGAACCGCTTCGCCCTTGACTTGCCAATGCCGAAGATGCCGCTTTGACCACCTGCACCTGATGCTGCTCGTCTCGAGAGCCAGAAGAGGGCACCGACGAAGAGGATGGTAGGACCGAAGGAGAAGATGGCGGCGCTCAAGGGCACCTCGTCCGAGTAGGCGACGGGGATTCTCTCGTTCGTGGGGATGCCCAACTCTTGCTGTGCCTCGTCCAAATGTCTCTCGAAGGCTTCGACGGAGCCTATGGAGAAGTAGTAGTAGAAATTGGGTTGCGCGGCAGGTGATTCAGGGTATCTCTGGGCCACGGCGGATCGGTGAAGCTCGACTCGGACGCGGTTGCGGTTAATGACCGTGAGCTTGTTGACGAGACCTTTGTCGAAAAACGTCGTCCGGAACTCTTGCCATGTGATCTCCCGACTAGACTCGCCCGGGTATAAGCTGCGATAGAGGTAGTATGTGATGAAGGCGGTCATGATCATGGTGCTGGCGTCGAGCTTCAGCTCGTAGACCTTCGGCCCGCCACTTTGCTGCCCCTGTTGCTTCTCCTTGCGCTGCTTACCGCCTTCCTTGTTCTTGTTCGACTGCTCGAACAGAGGCGTCTCCTCTTGGGCCTCGTTCTTGGCCGACTCCGTGCCCTTGACGCCGTACTTTTCTCGAACCTCCTTGGCCGTCATGCGAGACATCTTGGTAAAGAGGCTGACCAGCCGGACCGTCGTCCCAAGATCGATCCGCTTGGTAGGATCTTTCTTCCTGGCCTCCAGCACGTCCCGCAGCTCCTGAGGCATGCCACCCTTCTTGATCACCTCGGCAGCTTCGTCGACAGCGTCGGCCTGGGACTTGGGCAGGCCCGTCTTGATCATCTTGGCAATGTCGTCGATCTGCTGTCTTTCTTCCGCCGTCATGGGAGGGAAGTCTGAGCTGCTGGCCTGCTTCGCCTCTGACTCGTCACCTGGACTCCCCTTCTCCGGCTCATTTGCGGATTGTTCTGCTTTCTCCGCCTTCTCTGCCTTGCTGGCTTGGTGTTTCTTTTTCTCCTCGTCCTCCGACGGTGGTTTCGGATCACCAGGATTTACTGTTGCATACGATCGTGACAGTGGGGCTCGTAACGACCTTGCGGCGCGTAATCTGGTGAACTGGGTCGAGCGACGTGTGGCACAAAATGCGCACTCGAAAGCAGCTTTCGACGACCGCATCAATTGCGGCCGCAGGTAGCTTGCCGCCATCGCGGGCGGAGAGGTCTGTAAAGCGTGGGTGAGGCGGCTAGGAATTCAGCGCAGGAGGAGAGAGGTGAGCAAGCTTAGAGAAGGGGCAAGCCTAGATGGCGAAACGACGAGTTGTGGTGTCGCTTAGCCGTCGACGGTTGACGCGGGCGAATTTGCCTGGCAAAGGTGGATTTTGGTGCTGCACATGCACTCGTCCGTGACTCGCACTCGCACTCGTTCTGTCATAGATTTGCTAAGTTACGCCACGGGGCTGTTGCTCGTCCGTACGCGTACGCACGAGAGAGACTGCGGCACACTGCAGAGACCAAACGCGAAGAGACGCGCCCGCACATCCACGCACATCTGATCTCTTGCCATTCATATCCCACCCACATCCTGTCCCTCAACTTGGTCTCTTGCATTGAGTCTTGCCTGTTGATCATCCCTACCTCCTCTCAAAGGCGTCTCCTCCCGTACATGTCGGCTCGGAGTTTCCAGCCATCGTCTGCCTTGACCTGAATTGTTTCCTTCCCAGCTGGTCTAAATCGAGGGTCGCGCGCAATCCGACTAGGAGCCGTATAGAATCCAGCGGCGTTGTCCTCAAAGAAGCTCATGCTTCCACTGTTGCCCATCAACAGCCGCCCACGTTGGATCGCATACTCCGGGGCGGGCTTCCACTTAGCAAAAAGACCATCAGTGTCCGTGTTCGCGCCAGAAGATCCTCCGTCGTCGATCAGGTTGGCCACGATCTCTCCAACGGCGCAGATAGCAGCACACTCGATTTCGGCTTGGGACAGTTGATTAGTCGTAGCACCGTCACTATCGAGGCCAACAGCCCCGGTGGAAAGCCGTTCCCTCGCAGCTTCTTCAAACAGCTTGTGTGTGGCCGTAACAGGTCTGTTGTCCTTGTTGGCGAGTTGCATCCAGCGCCAGAGGTTTTCCTTCTTATCCTCGTGTAACTTGGGTCCAAATTCTCGAGTTTGATCAGGCGCCTGTGCCCTCGCAAAAGTATTCATTACCCTATTCATCTTTGTCCGCTGTGCCTTGGTGACGGGCTTCAACTCGAACCAGTCTCGTTCGTCAACCTCGAATATCTGCCGCAGAGTTGCCTGGTCGATGGGACAAGACTTCTTGTTGCTGTCTTCTTCCCAGGTCGGGCGAGGGCTTTGTTGTGCTCCAAATCCGGGTGGCGGTTTCAGAATAGTGACAGATCCCGGGTTGAGGATCTGACGACGAAGGCCATGCTCGGGCGTCGTTGCTGTGCTGCCTGACCGAGCTGGAGATGTCGCCTCAGTGGTCCTCACTTGGTGCAGATCGGGATTGTGCAGCACAGTCTTCCCTGTCTTGGCCAAAGCCTGCTGTGCCGCCACGAAACTTTGCATCTTTGTCTTTCGGTCATACGGTTCCTCTTCGCAAGAGTGCAATGTTGGCCCACGAGCCGGATGTGGCGCGGTTACGCCTGTGGTCTGTTCAGTTGCTCGTGGCTGCTCGAGAGGTGCGGCAAGGGTATCCGGATAAGAGTAGTGTCGGACAATGTTTGGTATATTACAGGATGCAGACCCAGAGAAGCTTCCCTCTATGTCGACAACGCTATCGGAACTGACATGTTGCAGAAGCGGACGACCTGTTGGGTTCGTAGGAAACATTGCTCCTGGGTAGTGGCTCGCCGCTTGACCAGGGTGAATAGCAGACATCGGAGGCAGTCCCGAGGTCCCAATCCCACCTGAAGCAGCAGTGAACTGGTCATGTCTGGCAACAAAACTCGGCGGTGGACCTGCGAACTGCTGGGACAAAAATGCTAGCTTTGTCTCCTGTTTTGTCGGGCTGATGTCGTCTGGGACCATGATGTTACCGGCATATTGAACAGCTAGTGGCCCGAGGGTGGGCGCTGTGGACACAGTAAAGGGAACTGCCACGGGGAATCCATGTGAGCCATAGTGCCATTCAACCCAAGGATACGGATTCGGGTTTGGGTACCCACCACCTGCGGCCACATTTCCTGGGGAGCTATGCACGCTAGGAGTCGTGGTTTGCTGGACCTGCTTGATGATTGAATGTGGTTGCACGCGTTTAGGGGTCGGGTTGACCAAGGCGGACGGTGTTTGGCAGGGCATACTGACCATCGCTCTGGGCGCCGTGGAAGCCGGGGCTACGATCGAGGAGGACGTGCTATCACTGGCACCGAGCTCCGCGGCTTTCGCAAGCACCCGAGAGACGTCATTGTCCTCGCTCACAGAGTTGCTGTTCTCGGTCGACGTGAAACGAGTGGGCGTTGATGGTGTGCCATGGATGTCCTCCTGGCTCTCGTTGTCACTGGTGGCTTCTGGTGTGTCTTCCAAAACCAACGGCTTCCAAGCCTTGATGCCTTTGTTGCGGTTGAGAGGAGCGTTCTTGGTGAAGGCGCTCAGGGACACAGGTGCGGGTTTCTGCGGCAATTTGTGCTCTTCGCTTGTTCGTCTCGCAGCAGCGTTTTTGGCGGCGTCGTATTCAGCGGCTCTTGCTTTTGCACCCCACTGTGTCCACATGTTGATATCAACGAGGCCAACTTGGTGAAGGCTAGGTGCTGTCGGAACGGGATAATCCGGGGGAGGCCGTCGCGGCTCTCGACCTGATTCCCGCATTAGAAGGGCGCTTTAGAGCTTGGATATCTTATTGCGAGAGCGGCTGTCTCACAATTGCCTCAACTGTTTTTGGAGGGAGCTGGGCTGCTAACCACCTGTCGGATGCGTTAGCAATTGATGATGTCAAGCGAGAAGTGCCTCTTAAGTTCTGGTTCTAACTGACAAATGCCGAAGCAGCTTTCTAACAGTAAGAAGGCTCGGACAGTGTCTGGCAGATCCTCTTTCGGACTTTCGGAGAAGGAGTGAAGAAATCGAGAGCGAATGAAAGATGGTGAGGCGATGAGAAGAAGAGGAAGGCTTGGTGGGAATGGGAAGGTGAGCGAGGGTGCGGTCAGCATTTACTGAAGACTGAATGCTGGAGGAAACAATCACACTCTCTCTATTCAACGCGACGGTCTGGGATCAAAGGAGCAACTTGTAGCAAGAGGTCGGCTTTCAGGACGAGTGACTGTCTTGTCTCGTGCCAAAGGGCAGAGAGACCTTAGCAAAGGAAGGCATGGCAGCGCGTTGGTGCTTGCCTGCAAATATTCTCATTTCATCCTCCATCCGCAGTTCCGTTTCATCTTTTTCTTCCAATGGGTATTAACGACGACAGACATCGCTGGCAGCAAGAACAATTCTTAGACCAAGAACAACGCGCAAATAATATTCCTGGTTCTCACCCCGAGCACCATACCTTGCGAGTCATCAACATCTCGCCACGAACAGTCGCATGTAGACGCCATTTCCCCTCCGCCGAAACATGATCTCTGGTTGCCATCATGGTGTCAGAAGCCAGCAACAGAAAGAGCGAAAGAAAGAGCAGGAGAAACGAAGGGCTGATTATGTGGTGATGTCGCCTCGCGCGTCCGGCAGAATGTCGGTGTCGAATCAGTTGGATCTCTTGACGGCCAAAAATTGCCTCCGCCACGACAATCTATCTCTGTACTGATTGCAAGCACCTGAACCTGACGTGGAGACTCTTCTGGAATACCTGAGCCATGATGTCGTCAGGGGCCTACCTCTGATTCACAACACCGCTCTGGGAGATAATAGGGAATACCACCATGAAGATCGGTGATCCTATATACAGGGGTGCGGAAGTGCGCCTGCCAGTCGAGGTGATCGAGATGATCATGGTTCATGTTGCATCCAGCAACCACTTGGATTCTCAGAAGTCGTTGTGGGCTTGCTGCCTTGTATCTAAGTCCTGGTATGCAGCTTCTATCTCACATCTCTACTACCGTCCACACCTTTCTCCTCGAAATTTTGACCTCTTCGCTCGAATGATATGTCCGCCTCTCAAAGCGCGCAGAGCCCGAATCGGCATCGAGGGTATGATCAAGCATTTGGACTTGCGGGACATTGCCTACGAGAGCTCCAACAGTCTCACATCTCGATTGATCAATCGAACAAAGTCCTCTCTGCAGAGTTTTCACCCTCCGGCCGTTACCTTCTCGTAAGTACATCCACCTGCCCGTTGAGTCGATCGAGGTGTTCTGACGATCCGTACAGAGTGGCCTCGTTGGCTCCACTATCCAAGTGTGTGAACTTGGCTCTGCTGGATATGTCGGGTGACCGATACTCCTTTACCTTGAAAGAACTTCTCGGTTCAATTGGCGCCCTCGAGCACTTGAAGTCTCTAGCGCTCCCAAAGGACATGCTGTGTGAAAAGGGTCAGGCTCTGACAGGTGATCTGCAATGGCCGGAGAACTTGACGCTCCTTCATGCTCCGGGCGCCATTTGCAGCTGGCCGCGAAGTTGGGACACGCTATTTAGAACCTGGCCTGCCAGTCTGACAACCCTGCGGTTCCCGGATTGTGATAACGCGCATGACAGTCCATTTAGCAGACTAGAGATCTGTCAAAAGACGGCAAACTTTGTCCAGCACCTCGAAATCCACTCCCCGCCGCGCCATACACCCAGGCCCATGGCTGGCACGCTGTATGACATTCTTCGTGTCTTTCCGCGCCTGAGGACGGTAACTATACCTGATGACATGGCAGCAAATACGGTGTTGGGATCTTACGGCCGAGCAGCCGCAGCGGCAGCTCCCAGGCATTTATCCTTGGAGGCTCTGACCATCAACGTGACGGTACAGCCCTCGTGGACTTTTCAAAGCAGTGATCAGTTACAGGTTGAGCTTCACCTCTCTGGGCTCGACATGCTTCTCAAGCCGCCATGGCTTCGCAGGCTGGAGATCCGCGGGTCGTTCCTCGATCTGAACTCGGAGGAGAAGCAGACGAGACTCAAAGAGCTGTCCGAGCGACTCCGCCAGCGTGCAAAGCCCGATCAGCGAGAGTCCTCGGGCATCTTTCTGATGAAGGGCTCTTGACCGAGGTGTGATCTGGAGGGAGAGGGAGGTCAGACCCACCACTCACTCAGACTACGCACCTAGGTCAAGGACCACACCAACATGACCTGTCGCAATGACTCAACGGTGGCCAAGTCGACTCCGCCATGAGACAAACACCACGTTTCAAATGACCTGTGCGTGCCGCTCTGGAATCCCCCGGCGCTTTGCAAATCACTTCAGTGGCCCATATCCAAGTCCCTCCAAAGCCGCGGGCGGAGAAGCTAATACCTATCTTGTCAGTGAGAGACGCGGGCTGGAGCGTGACGACGGCTTGTTCGGGCAGTCACCACCGTGTGAGAACAAGGCGCAAGATCAGATACACAAGACACTAGATCGCGCAAGGAAAGAGTCCCCAAAGGCACCCATCTGCACGGTAGGCGGCGTTGAACAAAATAAATAGAGACGTGTACGTGACTGAGCACTTTTCTTCATTCAAGCCATCATGGCACTAGCCGATCTGTCATCTCGGTCAATGGTCTTGGAACAAGTACTGGATGGCACAAGGCACAGTGTGAAAGGCCTCTCTTTCTTCTCTATCGCATTACCACGCAGTACCTGTCCTGCCTCGAGGCGAGTCCACGAAATCATCAGAACAACACCGACGCCAGCGCCAACGAAATAAGCTCCGAATCGCGTTCCAGTTGCTTTGCAAAAGTGCCAGTTGTGCTCCAATTCTAGCCCCGACTTGTCATCAGCCGATCAGTACCCAGCGCTGCATATTCTATTCAATTCATACAAGGTTATCGAATTGAACTCCCCTTCATGCGTCGTACCGCGTCGTACCGTACCGTTCCGTTCCGTTCCAATCCATTCCATTCCATTCCATTCCATAGCATAACATCCCTTGCTTGACTTATCTTGCCTTTTCTCGTTCGTCGGGCCACCCAAGCGTGGCTCAGTCAGAACAGAAACGTCCAGTGAGAGTGTGATACCACAACCTTGACTCTATCCGACAGATGTCTCTTCGCTCAAAAGATGGTTCCAAAGGCGCCGTCCGTGTCGATGCGCTTGCGGGGACTGCCTCCTTCGGTCTCTGGCTTGCGGTGTCTGTCGTGGGCGAGCGTCAGTCAATCAGTCCCAGTCTCAGTCTCATGGTCACCCATAGAGATCGAAGTGAACCCAAGAGTCTCAAGGTAAGATGACGGGATTTACTAACCTGAAGGTGAAGCCGACGAAAAGGGCCTTGGCCATCTTCTCATCCCGCTCCGCCATGTCCTCGAGTGCTCGTTGCTTATCATGCACCTCCTTGTACTTGGCCATGTCCGCCTCGTTAGAGAAGTCGTCGAAGTACCCGGCATCTGTCTCGGAATCTAGCTCCGGCACGAATGGCGCTTTCTGCTCACGCAGCGTGTTGAAGTCCACTTCGGCGAAGTACTCGTGCTTGTGAATCTCGTTGATGGACTTGAAGCGGTGGTCCTTTGCCGCGACGAGACGGGTGATCAGATCCCAGGTGCGCTTGGAGAGGAAGTAGTTAGGGTCATCGTAGATGGGTTTACGGAGCACGCGTTGCCAGCGCTTCAAATTCTGCCAGGTCTCGTCGACGGTGGCGCCCGCAAACGGTGGGTATCCTGCCAGTGCTTCGAAGAGCATGCAGCCGAGGGACCAGTAGTCGACGGTGAAGTCGTAGGTTTCGCCCTTGAGGACCTCGGGAGCCATGTAGTCCGGGGATCCGACGATCGATTTCGCGTAGTTAATGTCTTTCTTGCGAAGGGAGCGGTAGCCCTCACGGCGTTGGTCGGCAGAGCGGTCTTCCACAGCGGGCATGCCGAAGGGGACGGGTGTGTTGCCGACTTCTTCGAGCTTGATGCGCATGGACTCGATCTTGATGGGCGAGAGCATGCCAGCTGCGAGACCAAAGTCTGTGAGCTTGACGTGACCGGTCGCATCGATGAGGAAATTCTCTGGCTTTAGGTCACGATGGATGTAGCCAAGGGTATGGAGCGCGTCGACGCAAGAGAACATCTCGGCGATGTAAAACCTTGCGTGACGGTTGTGCAGGACGCCGGTGTTGTTGAGGAGCGTGCGGAAATCGCCTCCAGGGACGTACTCCATGGCGAGGTAGATTTGCTCTTCATCCTGGAAGGAGTAGAGCAGCTTGACGAGCCAATCGGACTTTGCTGCAGTGAGAATGTCTCGTTCGGTGAGGATGTGGCGGACTTCGTCGAGTTTGAACAGCAGTTTCTTGCGCATGACTTTGAGGGCGCAAACCTCGCGGGTGTCTTTCTTCTGGGCGAGGTAGACTTGGCCGTAGCCTCCTTGGCCGACCTGAGTGAGGATTTGAAAATCGCCATGGCGGAGACGAGTGCGGCGCTTTCGGAGATTGGCTCTCTCGCGACCGAGATATTTGTGCAACGCGGTATCATATTCTTCCTTGGGCGTCTCTGGCGGACTGGGGAAGGTGGACTTGAAGGCGGCTTCGCGGGACTGACGATTGTGGACGTAGGAGAGCAAGTCGAAGTAGTAGTCGAGGAAGTCTAGGAGAGGTTAGTGAGTGCCCATCTTGCGCTGCAGAGCGGCGGGAAACATACACAACTGAGTCACATTTGCCAGCCGCTTGACCTTGGGAGATTGCAACTTCTGCATCTCTTCATTTGTCAGACCTTTGGTCGTGGCGATTGTCTTCTTGTCTGCTGTTCGATATTGCTGTTCGCGCGCATTGGCAGCATGGTTCTGCTGCCCACCTTTGCTATAGCCATATCCGCCAGCAGGGGCATTTTCCTTGTTTGACTGGCGCGTCGGACTCTCGGAGCGACCAAGTGACTGCTGGGGCGGGTCTGCGAATGGATCTTGGTGTTCCTTGGTGGGCGACTTTGGCTGTGTTTTGGTAGGAGACATCGGAACGAGCTTCATGGCATTGTCAAATACATTTGGCAGGTCGTTGGCGCCCGGAGGGAATTGCTTCTTGCTTGGGCTGCCAGTCGGAGTTTGTACGGGACTGGTGAAGCCATGGACGGCACCGCCACCGGGCGTTGTTGGGGTGTGAGGTCGGTCGTACATCTCGTTACCAGAACGAGTATGCAGGAGAGGGGGAAGAGCAGGCAAGACCATGTTGAGATCCTGCTGAGATTTCGGCGAGAGGGGTGTACCGCCAACGGCCATATTATGTTGTCGGGTTGTCGGACAGAGGTTTGTTGTGATGGAGGTGAGGCGGGATTGAGACGGCGGTGAGTTGCAGGCCAGGCCCCTTGTGGAAGCGGGAAGGTCAAGCGCAGAGCAAAGTGACTGACTCTTCACCTCTTTCGCCGTAGACTGAGCAGCAAAGCCTGTGAGGGAAGCAAGCGAGGCAACGAGCGAGATCAGCTGCACGGTGCTGGCTAAAGTGAGGGCTCAGCGACGTCCTTCTGGCTCGAAGGATTCCCGCGAGTGTCTTGACGTTACGTTTCAGGAAACCATCAACAGTGCCGCGGCTGTTACGGGGCAACACGCCCGCGAAGCCGCTTATCGATACGATTGGCGTGCTCGGTTTTGGTGGTGTTCCATTGGTCGACCGTCTCTTGCCCTTTCTCATGACAACAGCTACGGGCTCTGAAGCATGCCAGCACGTCTGGGATACTTCCGGTATTAGGGATAGTTGCCCAAAGGATCATGATCCTCCAACAGATGTGGGCTGCAATGAGGGTGACTCAGAGCCTGAAAAAGTCATCACGCGAGCTTCAGCGACGATAAAAGGGTTGAGCTTCGTCGCTGAGCAGAACCAGCACTCTGCGACTGCGCTGCACTACTAATTAGATTCTCCATTCTCACAGCCTTCCAACAATGACAGCCACCGATCAAGTAGCATTCATCACAGGAGGAGGTAATGCCCGGACAAACACGTGTACTTCCTCGTCTAACACTGCCAATCAGCGTCCGGCATGGGCCTTGCCTTGGTGGAAGACCTCGCCGCCAAAGGATGGAACATCACCGTCTTCGACTTTGATCACATCTCTGGCGCAAAAGTCGCAGAAAGACTCGGGCGTCAAGTCTCCTTCATCAAGGGTAATACCGCGAAGTATGAAGAGCTAGGCTCAGCATTTGTAGAGACGTGGAAGAAAAGGGGGAGCATTGACTTTGGTAAGTCATGGGCTGAAGCTCACCTCCACAGTGGGAGAGAGAGAGGTCATTGCAGTGAAAAATGGACCAGACTGACCAGAAGATTTGATTAAGTCTTTGCCAACGCGGTAAGGTGGCAGGGTGCTTGAGGGGGACAAAACAACTAAAGCGAAGCCCGTGCAGGGAATTGGCGAGCGCAGCAAATTCTACGAACCAAAGGAAGAACTCGCTGAAGGGTTTCCTCCCAAGCCCAGCACCTTGACGTTGGAGGTCAACCTCCTCGGCGTCGTCTACACGGCGTACCTCGCCCTTCATTTCTTCCGGAAGAATCCAAATAAAAGTGGAAAGCTGGTCATGACGAGCAGTGCCTCAGCGTTGTACCCGAGCGGTTCGCTGGCATTGTATTCCGCCGCCAAGCATGCGGTGAGTACTTTTCATTGTCTACCATCTGTCCTCCCAAATCTACCTGTCTAAACTCTGTGGCACAAATTCTAGGTCGTCGGCCTTACTCGATCGATGGGTGCCGCTCTGGGCAAAGAACCCATCACCGTCAACTGCATCTGTCCCGGCCTCGTTCCTTCAGGCCTCCTTCCCGAAGCATTCACCAACGCGCTGCAAGCGGATATGATAACCCCGACGTCAACGATAGTCAAGGCAATAAACAACTTCCTGGCGGACGACTCACTCACTGGTCAGGTAGCGGAATGCAGCGGACAGGACGTCATCTACCGTCCTTCTTACGAGCCCGAGAACGAGGCAGCGAGGTATATGTTGGCGCTTCAAGACGGGAAGGTTGCCGCGAAGATTGATCTCGCGGAGATGGGGAGACATGCAAAGGTGAAGAAGGAGTTTTACGATAGGATGGAAGACTCCGCAGCATGACCATGTCAAGAGTTCGACAGGAATACTCTGTTGTGAAGTACCACGAAGGCTCGAGCCGTCCGTCCGTCTGTCTATAATCCATGATGTCTGCTCCTATCGCTGCAAGCCAGATTCTGATAAACGCCTATGGGTCATACTTGTGCGTGAATTCCCGCTTCAGACGGAACCCCCCGAATGCCGGTCTCCATGATAACAATTCCCACTGCTCTTCCGAAGGAAGCCTTGAGACGTCGGCGTGCATCGTCCCCTGCGGCATCAACCAAACCGCGCCAAGGGAAGTAGATCCATCGTCTCCGCTTCACATCTGTCGCAGGTGCAGGCAATTCCTCACCTCAGGGAAATCTACGGTATGGTCAGCCACGCCCTTGGCCTCTTATTCAGCACTGTCGTGCGTGTAACTTACCTAATTATTCCTTGTCCTCGAACAATGCCCTGAGGATCGCCTTGCCTTCCTCCACGTCCTCCGGGTTGTAAATCCTCAGGCCATACGAGAGGAGGAATTGATGGAAGGAAGTAAAACCAGCCTGACGGACCATCGCGTACTGAGACATTGGTTTGCTGGCGGTATCGTTGCTGCATTGAGTGTTGTTGGACTGAGGCATCTTGGGCAGTAGCAGGACCAGGACGGTGGGCTGTGTTCAGTTGTCAACCGGCTAAAGAGTTGCTCTTATTGTGTTTGATTTTGGCGTCGAGTTGTTGGAGCTTGGTTGGAAAAGGGACGAGGTTCACTCAGAAGCTTCGAGGTCCTGGGAAGAGAGACCTGAGTGGAAAGTCGATGGGTTGCGGGCAAGCACGTTCCGGATCGGTCAAAGCAAGTGCGGGTTATAGAGAACCTACGCATGGAGTACTCCTGCCAAAGGCGACTGTGGCTTCTCATCTAGTCTCGCTAAGGCAAAGAGTGATATCCCTGGGCCGGTTGAACGTCAGAGAAGAGAGAAGTCGACTTCGATCAGGCTTGGAAAAAAGGTCCTCCCATTTACGTGACGTACAGACTAGATATATTCATTGCGCTGTTGTCCTGCTGCCCAGCAGGGCCTTTAGATTTAACCATAGATATTGAACAGCCTCTTCCAACCTATTTGAGCGCGAGCGGTAGACTGACGGACAGCCACTCACACGACTTTTAAGTACTCATAAAACCAGCCAAGCAGAACGACAAACTACCAATTCATCTTGTCCTTGGCGTAGAGGTCCATATACTTGTCAACCTCCAGAGAATCCAGCTTGGAGGCATCTGTTCCCAATGCGACGAAGTCCTTGATCTGGGCATCGTCGAAGTGATGGCTCAGATGTCTCTTGTACTTGGCCAGGATTTCGGGCTTGGCCTCGTCTCTTCTCAGACGGTGACCAAGCGGTGCCTCCACAACCACTTCATCCAGCACGGTGCCATCGTTCAAGGTTACTGTCAGCGCATTTGAGATGGTTCTCAGAGCAGGGTCATGGTAATCCTTGGTGAATTGAGGATCCTCAACACACTTGATCCTCTTCCGCAGGTCCTCAACCAGAGGAGAGGTAGCGGCCTCGCCGCCGTCAAGATAGTCAGTGGCTTCCAAACGGTTGAAACACAGCATCGTAGCAACCATGTATTGGACACAATGATCTCGGTCAGCAAAGTTGTCCATAGGCTTAAATTGCTTGTCGATGATTCGAATGCACGCTTCGTGCGTACGGTTCGTGATCTCTTTGATATCCTTGGCCGATTTGCCCATGTCGGCGAGGATCTTGTGAATTTTCTGAGCCGCCTCAACGGCCGTCTGCGAGTGGAATTCAGCCGGGTATGAGACCTTGAACAGGACGTTCTCCATGACATATTCGCCGTATGGTCGCTGGAAGTCGAACTTCTTGCCCTTGAAGAGGACATCGTAGAAGCCCCAGACCGGAGCAGACAGAACGGTGGGAATACCGGCTTGGCCCTGCTGGACTTTGAAAGCGAGGTTTACGGCTCTTTGACAGGCATCGCCAGCAGCCCATGACTTGCGAGACATGGTGTTAGGCGAATGTCGGTATGTCCGCAGGCTCTGTCCATCGACAAACGCCTGAGAGACAGCGGCAGCGGTCTGGCCCTCGTCGAGACCCAGCAGTTTGCTGACGACTGCTGCAGAAGCAACTTTGACGAGGAGGACGTGATCCAGACCGACTCGATTGAACGAGTTCTCCAGCGCCAAGCAGCCCTGGATCTCATGGGCTTTGATCATGGCCTCCAGAACGTCTCGGATGGTGGGAATCTTGCCGCCGGCCACATTTCCGCCGGCTCTGTTGGTTCGGGCGATCCAGTCTGTGACGGCAAGAATAGCACCAAGATTGTCTGAAGGATGGCCCCATTCGGCAGCCAGCCAGCAGTCATTGTAGTCCAACCATCTGATCATAGCACCGATATTGAAAGCACCGTTGACAGGGTCCAATTCGAAGGGAGTGCCTGGCACGCGGGTGCCATTAGGGACACTTGCACCGGGAACAAGTGGTCCGAGGAGAGCTGTGCATTGTGGGAAGCGCAGGGCCTCCAGCCCACAGCCGATGGTGTCGAGGAGGATGTAGCGGGATGTATCGAGGGCGACGTCCGAGTTGATCTTGTAGTTGTGTACGTACGAGGCAATATCGAGGATCTCGGGATCGTATTGTTGAGCAGGGGCCTTTGAAGGGTGCGAGGAGGCCATCTTTCGAGAGGTCGAGAAGGAAGAAGCCCACGCAGGCGCAGGACGGGGGGCTCTGAAGCTGGACGTCGTCGAGCGGACTGCTGAGGATGGTTGGACACGTACAGCCAAAGCTCCTGCAGCTAAGCTTCGCACTGGGACTCTCTTGAAGGCACAAGACACCAGCATGATGCGTTCAATAGAAGCTGGGTGGGAGTGGGGTGAAAGACGCAAGATTGACGTCGAAGTGAGCAGCCAGTGGACAGCAGCGCTCACTTGACACTAGGCCTGTGTTCCTGAACCGGTCACTTGCTCACCGACTGATGGCACAGTGAACCAAGGAAAGAGCAGAGTGAAAGGCAAAGGAGGAGTGAAGAGAGGCAGGCTCGACGGGGATCAGTGGGATCAAATAAAACAAAAATCCCCAAGAGCTTTCAGTCTCCTGCCAACAACAACGGACAACTACTACGAAATCTATCTACTAAACCATCTTATTTCACGTTACCCTCACGCCTCGCCTCGCCTCTCCATCAGCTAAATTGCCATTGACCTATCGAGGCTCTCTTTTCCCTCACCATCACCGTGCAGCAACACACCACAGCGTCCCACACGCCGATAGAGCTCCGACTACCTCGGCCATTGCCGGCAGGTTGCTCAGTGGCCCTTTGATTCGCTAGAGAGCTTCGAGCAAAGCTCTGACCTTAGGCCGGTTCCGCCACTTTCTAGTCGTTCGGGCAAGCTGGAAGGCGGCCCAAGATGCCCTCGCAGCAGGCCCGCTATCAGCCTCTCCAAAGCCCTGCCGACGAAGGCGACTTTTCCGATGACAATGTGGCCGCGAGCACACAGGGAACACAGCAGCCCTTGGCCCTCCGCTCCGGTCCAGTGGCCGGCGCTGCCGCTTCCTCAAGCGAAGTCGCTCTACTCCGGCCCTCCGCCTCCACTAAACGAGATTCTTCCGATGCCGTTGCCAGCCGCGCCTTTGTCAGCCACAGACTCACAAAGTCTCACATTGCCTTGTCAGTCCTCGTCTTAGCAGTCTTCGTCTCCCTCATAGGTGGGGGTGGTTATTGGGTCTATAACAAGGGTCTGATCAATGGTCAGTCTCCGCCATGGTATCCTACACCACGTGGCGGGACATTGGCCTCATGGCAAAACAGCTACGAGAAGGCCGCAAGGCTGGTTGAGCGGATGAGCCTTGTTGAGAAAGTCAACATCACGACTGGCACAGGATGGGCAATGGATCTGTGCGTCGGCAATACTGCTCCTGCTGTCGATGTCGGCTTCCCTGGGCTATGTCTGCAAGACGGTCCCTTGGGCATACGGTTTGCAGACCACGCTACCTCATTCCCTGCTGGTATCACTGTCGGTGCAACCTGGAACCGTGAGTTGATGCGCAAACGTGGTGCTGCTCATGCACGTCAGGCCAGACTCAAGGGCGTCAACGTTCTTCTCGGCCCCGCGATGGGTCCCCTGGGCCGCAACCCAGCTGGCGGCAGGGTCTGGGAAGGCTTCGGTAGCGACCCTGTTCTGCAAGGCGTTGCTGCTTACGAGACTATCCAGGGCATTCAATCCCAGGGCATCATCGCGACAGCAAAGCACTTCGTCGGTAATGAGCAGGAGCATTTCCGGCGACCACTGGAATGGGGTCTCCCTGAGGCCCTGTCTTCCAATATCGACGACCGCACGCTGCATGAGATCTACGCTTGGCCCTTTGCCGAGAGTGTGAGAGCTGGTGTGGCCAGCGTCATGTGTTCCTATCAGATGGTCAACAATTCTTATGCTTGTCAAAACAGCAAGTTAATGAATGGCGTTCTCAAGGACGAACTTGGTTTTCAGGGCTTCGTTCAGTCTGATTGGTTGGCGCAACGGAGCGGTGTTGCGAGCGCCCTCGCTGGCCTTGACATGTCAATGCCTGGCGACGGTCTATACTGGCAAGACGGTCGGTCTTTGTTCGGTGAACAACTCTCAATTGCAGTCCTCAATGGCTCAATTCCCATGACGAGGCTTAATGACATGGCAATCCGGGTTGTGGCTGCCTGGTATCAGCTGGGACAGGATTCCTGGGCTGACGAAGGCCCAAATTTCTCTTCCTGGACAAACGATGAGTACGGCTATTTGCACGCCGGAAGCAACAGCAGGCAAGACAAGGTGGTTGTGAACAAATTCGTCGAAGCCGAAACCGACGAGAGTCGACAGCTCGCTCGGCAAGTGGCTATCGAGGGCACGGTGTTGCTGAAGAATGATGATTCACTTTTACCATTGAGTTCCACTCTTTCCGAGCTAGGTTCCGCCACTCGCAAGAGAGTCGCCATCATCGGGGAAGATGCTGGCCCAGGAAAAGGCCCCAACTACTGTGATGATCGGGCCTGC